ATAAACGCCTATAGACTAATAGCGGTTGGGCATATAAGCAATGATTGATTTGAAAAACGGGCCAGAAGTTAAGCGAGCGTCTGTGGACTAGTACAAGAGCTATTTCGAACCTATGACAAGGCTTTCGCTTCAAAACGCGATTGTTACCAGCCACCTGCGGTACCGTGATTTGTCTATATAATCCCCCTCCTACCTTCCTTATCTACCACACACATATTATCCGCGCAGCAAAGATGAAAGACAGAATCGCGAGAATTTTCTGGATAGGCCTTCAAGCAAAGAACCACACCAACACCAATGAGTTCACCGTTCAGCAACGAGCATAGTAAGATTTGATACCGTGATACGCAGTCTTGTTGGCTACACTGACCAACAGCTTCAACTCCCCTTCGCATGTTGCTCGGGTAAAGATGGTATTCTGTCACATTAGCTGAAAATCTGGTGAGACGGAAGAATGAACTGACCTGCAAGAGTTCGTCAACGGGTATACTTTCCAGCTGGCAAGGCAAATCTTTGATCTCGGGTTCCCATTCGTAGGTAGGATTCCTCAGCATCAATTTGGTGACAACATCAGCTAGAGCGCATAATTTCATTGTCGCAGGATTCATTTCTGATTCATGGATCTGGCAGCTATTCTCGACGCCCGCTAGGGAAAGTTAGCCTTCGTAAATTACCATCATATAAGCGAATACCTTACTGATCTTGACATCACCAGACTGTGTAAGCAGGACTGTTTCCGGGCCAAGGGTAGCGAGTGCTCTCCCAAGCCCGCGCAGATATTGTATTCCTTCCAATACCTATCCTGAGTTAGCTGCATCTGCATCTGCAAGATTCTTGTGTTTGACTCACCGGTTTGACAATTCCAAGCAGTTCATCGTTGTTAATTGAGCAGCTGCAGGCTAAAATATGGCTGACTGACACTTCCGTTGGCTCCCAGATCAATGTGCAGGATGCATCCTGATGGTAACTCTCCATTAGCCTCAAGAAACTTGGATGAGAGATTTGTTCCATCAGTTCTAGGAATCCTGTAGCTGGCGAGAACTGTTGTTTGAGTTCTTGGATATGCACCAACTCTCCTTTCATCTTCTTGTGTCGGGCAAAGATCAGAGACCGATCTTGCGATGATGCAGCAACAGGTTCAAAAGTATCCCATGGGTTTAGGGTCAGCTGTGGGATCTTTCGCTTTGGGCGATCCGGGAGTGATTTCTTCAAATTGAGGGCGGTTGCGGCGGCAGTCATTTTCTGACTCGGCGAGGGTTGAATATCAGGAAAAGCAATTGGTTTTGAACTCGGGTGCTTCTGAAAGATAGCAGATTGATCAACCCACACAGTCGGAGGCCGACTAGGGCTGACCCGATTGTCCTTCATCTTTGTGTGTGGTTTTGGCGACTCATGGAAAAGGGTAGTAGGAATTACACTGGATTTTATATCGCCAAACCTTGATTTCTACATACCCCTTTAGCCCTCATCACGATGGCACTTGTTTACGACATCATATTACTACGTCTCTGCAACTGAAAAGTGATATCTTGCAAATTAACAGCGTATGGTGAACTCTTGATGATCTATTTCCATCACATTTGGTTGAACTTTCAACGGTTTCGCTTGGCAGGTTGCTTTGCATCAGAAAACAGCTCTGGAATGCTTTTTCTCCCACCTCAACAGCCTTCACTCTATTGTGGTGCTCGAACTATCGCACGAATTGCTCTCAGATGAAGGATTATGCTCTTTGTCAAAGTCTCTTTACCCAAAGGCAAACCCAGTAGGATTGGCAATATTCCTGGCCATGTGTAATACAAGCTGCAAATAAACCAAAATTGTATCATCCCAAGGGAGAGAAAAGAATTCCAAGCGCTGGACCAAACCGCGCTGATAGACTCACGTGTATATTGAAGTGTCTCACTAGGCACAGCAACCATTCTATTAACTGCCCTGTATATCCTAGGAGCAATAATAATAGGGGTCTTCTAGCTCGCTAACAATCCTCCTCCTTTAACAGGCATGCTATTGAAAAAGAATAGCACCACTGCGTGAGATAGTTTTTCACGTATAACTTTACCTGCATTATTTACCGTTTCGCAGGCTACTATAGTATGGACATAAAAGGGTCTAATTCGAAGGCAGCGAGAGTAGTTGTGGTAAATTTTGAGAAATGACGACACAGCCTCCTCGATTCCTAGGATTACTTGTGGGGTCAATTCATGTAGTGCAGGGAGTGTTATGGGCTATGCTCCGTACAGTAAATTCTGCAAATTTTGACATAAATAGTACTCCTCTTCTCCGTTTGAGCCGATAGATCTCACGTCTCCAGAATCAATTCAAGCTCTCCAAGATGACATCTGAGCCTTTCCCTCGAACACTGTGAGTTTCTATCTGATAACACCTGATCCCAGCTAACACTTGACAGATCGATTAAAGACTTGTTGTTGCCCCCAGAAGATGCCGGAAGGCAGCAAACGACCGCTGCGCCACCACAATCTACAGAAGCAGCCATTGTGACCCGGAGCGTCGATCTCGAAGAGGAGAAGCCAGCTACCTCCGCCAGTGTGAAGGGGATTCCTTTCAGATGGGAAAACTCCGTTTCACGCGCCGCAGCAAATAAACGGAAGCACCAGGCTCTGGCATCACAAAGGCGTCGCAATCGAGCCAAAGAGAACCTTAGCTTGATGGCGGATGTCGATGCGTACTCGCGTGAGGCTGGCAAGCTGTCGTACCTGGTGATGTAACAAAGAGCTCAATTGCTCGTCCTGAATGGATTCAAGGAGCTAGTGTTGGCCAATCAGACAGGTCGTGCCATGGAAGTTCTGGGCCGTCATCCACAGGTAGTTTCTGCTTACGTATTCAAGGCTAGAGGTCTGCTAACCACTTTCCTAGCCACCAATGCTAGCTTCTAATACGTATGGTTTCGTCGCACAGTTTGTCAGATACTGTGGCAGCTACCTTGCTTCAACAATGTGGAGCGACCCTTGCATGGATTTTGAGGTACAATACAAGGACGGAACAGCAGGGCAGGTGCGATGGCGGGTAGCGATGCCATTAAAGCTGCAGGGCACGCATAATCTGGACGTCCAGGAGGAAATGAAAAAAGCCGACCTTGCTAAGAGTTTGCTGCCTACGGCAGAGTGGAGGTTTTTCGAAAGTCTGAATATCACCAAGACAAATTCTATGCTCTTGGTTTTCGAATAACATAAAAATACGTTTGGACGTTCAAATGGACTCTGGCTTTTCACAGCGTTGCACGTTTTTTTTTTTTCCATAGGCACTCTGATTCAGTTCATAAAGCATTTCATCTTTCGCATCAAATATCGCAATGGTCTTCACCGGTATGATCTTTTCCTGCAGACTGATGAATCATAGACTTCGAGAAATGATCATCGCGGTAAAAAAAACCAAATAATAAAAGCCCAGCCCACGAACTGTCACTAAAGATGGCGCATTTCCTGACGCTTCAGCAGCTCTCGTAGGCTTAAGCTGTGAAGCAGCAGGCAAGTCGGACACTGTCATGGCCTCCACAGTGCTAGCCGCTGGCATAGTGAATGTTGGGATGATCAAGGTCAATGGCACGAAGACATCGTTCCAGGCTATCGTCCCTGTTGTGTTCGGGGTTTGGGTGGTCGCCATTTGTTTCCGATCCAAATCTTGGTGGTAGGGTCGCTCTCAGAGTCGCCTGTAAAAGTTCAATGTTAAAACTTGTCAATCTTGCAATATAGCACTGCAATGCGCATGAATCAATGTACTTACTCAGCTTGTGTATGTGACGTTAGCCGAAAATTATGTAGCGTCCGATGAATCTAATACTGCCTCCCAATGGCACACGTACAGCTCTCCCAACTAGACATTATCTCAACTGTCAATGATATGGGTGGATATGAAAACCTCCTGGGGGTTTTACCTTAAGCTGGCTATCATCGGGAAGGTAATCCCTTTTCAGGTAGTCGTGAAATTGGGGGGGCCAAAAGTTTTCCAAGAGAATAAGAGTGAGGACTCGAGCGGGGAATGAACTCATATTTATGTGGTCGTTTTAGCTCAGTTATGTCTTGAACTCTGAATGAAATGAGAGGAAACTGCTAGAACTACCGTTTTCCCTTGCACGTGGACATCAACAGTAGGCTATATCATTGCGTTGAACATGATTCCTCGAACTGGACTTTTTTTGCAGACTTCCGGTATACATTCAAGGTGTCGAACTTATTATAACCCTACGTACTATGCTGTGCACTATCTCCCGAAGCTGGATCTTCACCATCTTCACCATCTTCACCATCTTCACCATCTTCACCATCTTCACCATCTTCACCATCTTCACCATCTTCACCATCTTCACCATCTTCACCATCTTCACCATCTTCACCATCTTCACCATCTTCACCATCTTCACCATCTTCACCATCTTCACCATCTTCACCATCTTCACCATCTTCACCATCTTCACCATCTTCACCATCTTCACCATCTTCACCATCTTCACCATCTTCACTCATATTCCAATATCGTCGTGCCGGCTCTTACTTTCTTAGTGATTATTATCCCACTATCAGCTCGATTTCGTTGTGTCTCAAAGCCGGTCACCTTAGAGAATCGAGTCGGTCACTCCTCGAGTACAATCACGCCAACTCTTCGTATAGAATAACGTATTCATATCACCCGTGAAAGCATATTACCTCCAGTTGGCCAAGTCTTCAATCCATTCCTCACATCTTGATACATAACGGTTACGTGAAGTTCGTCACCGAGTAGCAGTATGCATATACTGTTAATAGAACATCAGGAATCGAATGAGTCGGTACTTTATGGAGACGAGATACGCCAAATCACTTCTTTCTGTGTAATCTACGTGGAATCTGGATACCACATGAGAATAAGCAAGACAACAAATTCGTTTCAATTTAAAATAAAAGAAAGCTATCTATCGATCTATCTATCGACCTAAGTATCAATTTATCGAACTGGTAAATCAAAACGCCTAAAGCAACGTTAGCAATCTAGAGGAAATCAAGGCATCAATGGGCGGCGACGGCTACTCCTGGTCGTTGGCCAATCGGAGTATTGACCGAGCCTTGGGGTTCCATATTTTGGGCAATCGTATCCCGGTATAGGCCATAAATGGCTTTCGCCACCGTCAAGCATGCTTCTCTCTGATTATCATTCAAGTCATCCCAACCCTTCTTTTGCTTCCATTCTGCCATGAATTCCGCTTCCGTGCGTATGGCTCTTTGGCCAATTGCCATGTTGGACTTGTTCTGCACGGCGTTGGTGTTCGAGTTCACAGCAGCGCCGGAGGAAACCGGATTGCGAGGTGCCTCATCTCTATCAAGGTTGATTGGGTTGGTTGACGACCCCTGTCTTGGACGCAATTGTGCAGTGGAGGAAAGGGGAATTTCATATCGGCCCGCAGATACGAATTGAGTTGCAGGTGAACTGAGACGTCGTGTTTGCTCTCGCGGAAGTGATTGCCTCGCTGCTGACCCCAATGGGCAAGGGGGGAGACCGATCTTCAGAGCCTCTTCCGGTGTCACTCTGGAGCACACGCTGATAGCGTTCTTCTTGTTTGTCCCAGACCTCTTTGATCTTTGCATCTGCAGCGCGCTTGCCATTGCAGAAGCGAATGAAATCGGATCTGGGAATCCAAGAACAAAAATTGTGCATTTTGTCGGTATCTTCTGACCTCAGGTTCTTCCATTTAATATTCAGCCAAGTACAGGGATCAGACTTGTATTTTTTATTTTGATTCTTTCTTTTTTCCGAGGTATCCCGTAGATCCCGACAACATTATTCTTGGTATACCGCCAGACTTTGCTCCTTGGACTAACTTTGATCTGGGAGATCCGCAGAGACGATTCAGACATGCTATTCATGAATTCATTGGTATATCCATGTCGGTATTTGAATTTGTATTTGGCTTCATGGCGAGGCCCGTACTGGAGAATGACAAAGGCTGATCCTCGCAGGGTTCCCCAACCATCTATAAGAGCGTCGCCTTCCTCCTCATCATTGGAGGGATCAAGGGTGGCTAGAAGCTCTGGCTCTTCGGGCTCGGTGGTACCTCGGGCACTGGGAGACAACATCTTGATTCTGTGAATGACCGGCCGCAGGAGGGCGTTCGTGACCACTTGAGCTGGACACGGTCCCGGTCTGGTCTACCGAGCCAGCATCAAGCATCGGGGTGTCGTCTCTCTCGATAGAATTCATGACTGAGCTGTTCAATGGCGGCGAATAGTTGGCTTGGCCAATCGGGTCACTGTCGCTAAGCTGACCACCATCGTGTGCGTCTGACGAGTTGTGCGTTGGGTGTCGCCCTTGCGAAATAGACGCTTGCGCAACTGCACTTTGGATCTTTTGCGAAGAGATCAAATTATCGCTTGCTAGTTGCTTCATTTCAGGGAGGTGAGATTTATTGGCCTTGGGGGTAGAGTTTTTAGTAACTCCACCATTATTTGGTGCCATATTGAATGGCCAACCGAGATGTTCTCTGCGAACAGCAAAAAATCTAAGCGGTCGATAGCGGGTATTTATGCATTTCGAGACATCAAGCGATGCGTTAGTTAAAACGCGTGACCGGATTATTTGACACTGAATTTCAAGGAAATGCGTACACCTCATGTTTGTATGATTTTGCTCAACTTTCAATCCGAGCAACTGAGCATCAACTTGGCTACACTCTAGCTCCTTGGAATTTGCCTCAGAATAAAGAGACAAGGGAATACGTGGGAATATGAACTCCATAAGTTGCTGGCGGGTTCTGGAGCCTTGGCTTTGAGTATGATCACTTTTTTTGTCCGGAAATTTCTTGTTGATCTTTACTTTGAGACACACTTTTTCTCTCCAGCCAAATAATGAGTAAGGCCAGCTATTTCATGAGGAAGGATAAGCGACCAACTTGTAAGCACTAGAGCAGCATCAATCCTCATAAAGATTTAATTGCGGCGACTTTCGCTAGGCTTTTTACCATTGCATGCAGATGCGTTGACCTCCAGAATCATTCATTGGGTCAGTGACAGTTTGAGAAAGTTTATGGAGGCAAAAAGTCACAAGCTGCAAATTTGTCTTGTAGGCAATACGGCTGCTACGTGGGATCATAATGATACCTAGCGATTTGTTTCTTTTCTAGAATTTCCTGTGCAAGGATGGCGTTGAGAGTGGCCTTCCGTCGATCCTCGGTCCATTGGGTATTCAAAGTTACTATATTTATAAAGCATCCTTTGGCACATAATAACTAATCTTGCTAGCATTTGGGCTCGGGTAAGTACAGTTTACATGACAGAGGTGCGTGACCAAGATTGTATAGGGACCAGAACAGTAATATCGAAATCTACAACTAAACAAAAAGCATGGATTGACATCTCGGCATGAAAACCAGCACAAATCCAACACCATTGTCAAATGATCAGTGGTACATGTGACCACGACCTTTCACAGTCTGAAATTTTCACATCACTTTGAGATCGCAGCTCGAAAACGCCTGATATACTCATCTTCTTTTATAACCTCCTCCAACTTGTAGAATTTGTAGATCGCCAGAAGTGCTGAACAAATAGAAAGTGTCGCTCCAGTTACAGCAGTTGTGACAATTGCCATTACCGACCAGTCTCCACCTTGAGAGGTACACACGTTGATGACAGTGGTCAGCAGCCCGGCGGCAGCATTCAAGCATAGAGGCCTAGTTCGGTTTTAGTCTTGAGCCCGCGCTCTCCAAATCTGTCTCACGACGTTGCTCACTTACACAAAGACTTTATTGACCAGCCATAGGTAATTTCCCCTGAGCTTTGGGAAGTGCATCAGCCACATGAGAGCTCCAATACCACTCACAAGAAGGAGGCACGCAATACCGAGTAATGGAGGGTTCTGGATGGTATGCAGCACGGTACGACCGGCTTTGTTGACTTGCAAAGCCTTTTCGACCTGGTTTGAAGTTTGCAGTGAAGTGAACGTGCCGGGGATGACGAGATAGCCGGCCAGCAGTGCCCAATTAGCCACACCGACCGTGATATTGAAGCTGATGTCCATTTCTGCCTCTTCCCTGAGCATTCGGACATAAGTGGTCTCAATCGGGTCGTCGATCTGGCTGGCTCTAGACAGCGCAGGTGTCACATTTTCAGCTGGGCGGAACGGAATAAGCGCAGACTTCATTGCAGGAAGGGCAATCCTTTCTGATCCCATTTTACCTGTCATACTTAGATGGTTGCCCACAGAGGTAGTAGCCGAGGAATGTTAGGGACTATCACGAAGAGGCTACAAAGCAAGAAAGGGCTTGAGAATGCATTATATAGTCAGTAGTGCAAGATTGCTACCATTCTAATATAGAGGAAGCCGCAGCATTGTCTCGCGGTGAGTATGACAGAAAGTGACATTTGTTGCAAACTTGATTCAAACGACCGCAACTTGCAGATACACACGAAGAAGAAACCTGGCGCCCAAATCTTTTCGCTTGACATCAAATTTTGAGACGAGAAACGACCACGCCTGTTCGAATCTGAGGGCCCAGCGACACTTTGAAGCTCCTCTTGTCATTTTCAGACGAGTGCCCGAATATAAAGCTTCCAGCAGACCTCTTTCCTTCCTTAGAGCTCTCACTCCATCTAATGGCTGCTTGGCTTGATCTCGTCAGCGAGAATGAAGTATGCAATTTAGTGGATACCAACCGGTTGGAAGAACTTGTGCAGGAATTGCCCTATCCAAAATGGCAATATCCGTCCCTGCTCTACTTTACAGGAAATTCAAACCGCATGAAAGCTTTGCGAGCTCTGTTCCCCTACAACAACATCACACGCAAAGGCCCCTCTGGCTTGATTCGTCTTCATCTCAGCACCAATACCGCTCACACACAGAGCCCTGTGTTGTTTGCTGAAAGCAGTTTAAACCTGGAACACAGCATGGGCGACTCGAAATGGCTCAAGCATTCAACTACAAAGCATCGAAGCTTCTCTATAACGGGCACAGAAGGGCTGTTGCCCCCTGCAAGGCTACAACAAGAAGTGAAGAGGGAACTTGTTTTACCATGGACCCAGGTCCTGTGTTTGTTCCTCGATTCCGCCGCTGACATTCAGGCCGCAAGAAACTTACTCCAACAACCACGTCGACAGCTGACCATTGGCGACGAGGGTATTCCGGCTCCCACGCAGATAGTCATTGTCTTGACCAACGGCAAGCATACAACAAAAGCATTCACACAAGAATACGCACAGCTTGAAAAGACGATCAAGACCGGGACAGTCATGATTCTCGATCTCAGTCCACGTAGCGGGCTTTCAGACAGCGTCGCTTTTGCGCCACTGGAAAGCTTGATCCTCAAGCAACTCGGTATAGTCCAGGCCGAGCAGCTATCAGCTTGTCGGCGGTTCTCAGCAGTTCACCTCAGTGCTTTCTGGAACACTCATGTACAAATTCACCAAAGGCTGCTCGATGCACCGCCATTTGATCTGTTGGAAAGGGCCCGAAGGGGCTATACGAAAAATGACACGATGGGCGATTGTCTTCGAGAGGTCAGCCACCATAGAAAATCCGTTAGCTGCTCAAGGGAGGACTTTGATGACCTTGTAGCTACGGCTTTCTTGATGGATGCCTACCCCCCTGGAATGCATGGTAAGTTCGATTTCCTTTTACTCGCACTTTCATATCTCGACTTCAAAGCTGAATTGCCCAGGTTTCTCGCCCATCTTGGTTTTCGCCGCAATTTATGAGAAACTATGTCTCAGTACCTGGGACGCAAAGTTCCAGGGCCATATTGCTGGCATTTCATTCCGCTTCGTGCAAAGTTTCGGGCAGTTGAGCTCTGTGAGAACTTCAGCAGCCATTCGAAAGGAGACGTTGCATCGCTTGTATCGCCGGTGTGGTGGTCTTCGCTCCACCACTACTTGCTTGGTCTGTCTGTGTCGACCCCCGGAGCATATGCTCCCCTGCAAACATGCAATATGTGACACCTGCGTCGTGATCTTCGGAAATCCAAGTTCGCTTGGGGAGTATCATTTCGAGGTCACTCAATGTCCTATCTGCGACGAGAAGTCCAGCGTCACTGTCCGCCAACTACCTCCGACCAAGCATCCGGTGATTCTCAGTTTAGATGGCGGTGGGGTGCGCGGTCTGATTCAACTAGGCCTTCTACGGGCTTTAGAAAGGCGCATTGGTGTTCCAATCGCGTCTCTGCCGGAGCTGTGCACTGGAACTAGCGTAGGTACGTACGACCACTGTCCGAGTGACTATCATCGTTGATATACTAACAAAACTGCCGATTCAGGCGCATTATCCGCTATTGACATCATTCTCAGCCAATCTTCGGTCACTCAATGTTTCAATGCATTCACCGACCTTGCGCGAAAGATTTTTCGTCGTACCTCAAATAGCCCAGTTCCTCGCTGTATTCGGTGGTTGGCCTCGGCGTTCAACTTGACCACAGATGGTCTTTATGATTCCGATGGGCTGTCACAGATTTTCAAAGCAGCCGTTGGCCCATCTCGCCGCATGTTCGATGTTGCCATGAATAGCTCTGCGGGTTGCCGGGTCGCTATTGTGGCAAGCCGCACCTCCGATGGCAAAGCCTGTATCTTGGCCAATTATCGGGGAGCAAACCCGCGTTCCACGAATGCAGCCTATCTATTTCTGGCGCCACACGGCGATTGGGAGAATCCATTTTTATGGGAAGCGTAAGTCGACTGTCCGAGTGCAACCAATTTGAAAATTAGTAGCGGATTTTGCTAACAGTTGGCTTTTGACAGAGCTATATGCAGTGTTGCAGCACCCTTGTGAGTTCAAACACCATGACGCAGAATAACAAGCTGACACTCTCTAGTTATTTCCAGACCAAGAATTTGCCAGGCCTTGGTCTCTTGCAGGATGGTGGGGTCCGGGCGAACAATCCGCTAGCCATTGCTTTGCGAGAGTCGGGCATCATCTGGCCCATGGCGAAAAGGCACGACCTTCTCCTATCTGTCGGAACAGGGTTCTCCACAAGTACCCCGAGTGATCCAACCGGATTTCTTGGTCAAATTCGGGAGGGTGCTCTTCCTCGAATGTTTCGGGCCATGATGTCTTCTCCCTCTATGGATGGAAAGCAAGGGTTTTTGGAAGCTCTCAATTATCTTCCCCATTCGTCGACACCCGATATTGTCCGGCTGGACCAGGCCATCGATGGTACATTGCCAGCATTAGACGATACGTGCTCGCTGGAAAAAATGTCAAATATAAATTTTGCAGTCCCAGCTGAGCTTGTGAGGAGCGTTCTTGCGTCGGCCATGTTTTTCTTTGAGTTAGATGAGTCTCCTGTCCAGGGCAATGCTTCTTTTTATTGTCGGGGATCTATTCTTTGTTCACGACCGAACCCTACCGAGATCGTGCAGCGAGTTCTTGTCGAGTTCCCCGGCGCCAGGTTTCGGTCTAATCAGGACCACGATTTGGGAAGCATAGGTCCAGTCGACATTTGCCAACTTTGTGGATATTTCAGAAAGCGCGTTGCTTTTCGGGTCACCAGCCTTGAGGAAAGGGTCTCAATTGAGATTGCCAATGATACCTTTCGCGAAAAGATTGGCGGCTTCCCCAAATCGACGCTAGAATTTCTCGATGAGCAGAAGGCTTACGCTCAGTTTGGACGTGCAGATCATCAAAGCCTAGATTGGCCGCCACGGAGATCTTGTTACTGCTATCGTGGGTCAAAGCGACTAGTCCATTTCTTGGAGCCTGGTGTTGGGCAGAAAAGACGGCGGCTGTGAGCTGTGTGGATTCCTCGTTCGTGTTTTAGGAAGATACTTAACAGTTAGAAGCTATTCGGTTCAGACTTTGATGAGAAAATCCAGGAGAGCGCCGGCAGCAAATAAGACGGGGCCCGTGCACTGTACTGTCTCTTTCCCGCCCCTTTCTGGTTTACCCTGGCAACAATAACTAGTGGGGAACAATCAAAACAGATTAATATTATAAGTACACAGTCTGAATTGAAACCCCAATATGTTGTCTCTATTCTTGGACCCCATGCACACCTGTTGTGGTCGCCCCCGTTTGTGGGAGTCCAGATATTGCGAGTGGAGCTGTACAGACGGATGGATGGATGATTTCATTTACCCTGACCTCTCGCTTTTGGCGATATACAGGATACAGCAACTATATATATCATTGTATGTACACGTGTGATGTCCCACTTCCTAAAAACGAACTTGGAGCCTCGTCAAGGCCTATCGTGGCCTAATTGCCGTTCGATTGGTTAGGCTGCCCTCGTGGCGCGCGACTTTTGAATCGTTGTGACGCCTCAGCGAAGTCCAGCACGGCGTCAACCGTCCTGGCTCGCGACACGGTGTCTGGTTTACCTTTCTCACCTTCAGTTGAGCCTCCCAGCAGACTCGACACGCTGTTAAACGCGTCCCCAACTTCACTCCTTAACTTTCGTCGAATTTCCCTCAGATTTGGGCAGTCCACCAGCACATGGGTGACTGTTTCTTGTGCGCCGCACACGCACTGATCATTGGCGCGGAAGCCAAAGGTCTTGGCGTAGGTGGATAGCCAATTATGGCCCGTGCGTAGCTGTGTCAACAGGTACGCCCGGCCCCTGGGCAAATTCCCATACAGCTTCCTGGTGTAGACCGCCGGTAGAGTACTGTCAATGTTCCGCAGGTGACCCCCTTTGGTAGATGCTTTCCATTCCCGCTCCCACTGGGCGCGGATGGTGTCGCGGATAAGCGCTCTCTTCCTCGTCAGCAGAGGGCGGAAGGGGTGTGTTTTGCCCGGGCGTGCCGCGTCTTTGGCTAACCGATCTGCCGCGTCGTTTCCTGTATTATCGCAGTGTCCAGGTATCCATTGGAGACGAAGTGCGGTTCCCTTTGCTTGGACTTCCGTAGCCGCCTGGAGGATCGCGTGGATGATGCGTTGCCCTGATTTGTTTCCCGGATTCTGGATTGCTTGCAAGGCCGATCTGCTGTCGCAGAGGATCGTTGCGAACTTTGATTCACTATCTTCTGTTCTTGGCCGCTGATGGCTGATCTTGAACACTGTACTGACAGCGTAGAAGATGCCAATCAGCTCCGCTACGTGAACCGACCACCGGTCCATCGGTCCCACCTGGACCTGCTGAGACTCAATGACCTCTAGCTTGTTGTCGAGTGCAGCGATAGCAGCACCTAGGTGGCCTTCACGTCCCGAAGCATCAGAGTAGACTACGATGGCGGATGTGGACCCTACGGTCTCAGCCCGTTCTCTGGCCGTCTCTCGGTCGGACCCGATCTCGATCTCCGCGAAGGACTCGGCTCGCCATGGGGGCAGTGGTCGTGGGTCGATCGTCTCTAGTTCATTCAATCTTTCTAGGTTCATGGTCTTCAGGGCTTCCGCCAGTGGAAAACGAGCGTACGACCCGATGTTGTTCCTACGTTTCTGGGCTCGCCGTAGTGCATCCCAAACCGGATGATCCCGGGGTAGAGTGTGGAGGCTTGCGATGGTGTTCTGCGCTCGGTGGCGGAGACGGAGGTGCGTTGGCAGAACGTGTGCTTCTACTTCCAGGGTCGTCGTGGCCACCGTTCTGAAAGCTGATAAGATGCGGGTCAACACAGTCCTCTGGACTGTGTTCAGATGTCGTAGGTGGGTTTTATCTCGCAAAGGGTCATGCCAGACCGTCGACGCGTAGTCCATGACCGGAGTAACGCAGGCTTGGTAGAGCTGTCGCATCTGTTCTGGGCGTAGATGCCGCAGTCCGGCCAGAGCAATACTGACCTTGATTGCCCGTTTGATTGCTTGCTGGACGTGTTCTTTCCAGCGAAGCTCCTGGTCGAAGACCACCCCCAGTAGCTTAGCAGTGGGCGACGGCTCGACTGTCTCTCCGTTCATAACCACTTGACCTTGGAGCTGTTCGTGTCTTTTCCTGGTGATGTGAATCAATTCGGTTTTTTCGGCTGCGAAGCAAGACCCAGTTCGACGGGCCCATGCTTCGATACGGGGAATGTCTTCCGATTGGATCTTGGCTAGGTTCTCGTCGGCTGAGCGTCCTACTCGCCAGCGGAAGTAGTCATCGATAAAGGCGGATGCGCCGCCGTGGGAATCGACCGGTTGGTCGACTAGGTCGGAGTTGAAGAAGGCGAACAGAATGGGGGGAGAGAGGCGAGCCCTGTGCTAGCCCCGCGTTTGCTAGTGATGTGGTCTTCGTGCGGAAGTCATCAAATCCTATACTAGCGTGGCGGTCGCTCATGAAACTCGCAATCCATTTTCTAGCCACAGTTGGGATTCTTCTGGCCCGCAGGCAGACGTCTAGGCTCACTTTGTTGACTCCGTTGAAGGCACCTTTCAAGTCAAATGCTACTAGCGTCACCACTTTGTGTTTGTACCACGCCCGGTCAATCGCGTTGGAGAGGACCAAAAGGGCCTGTTCAGTGGTTCTGCCTGGTCGCCCCCCAAATTGGGTGTCCGGTAGCAGACCGTGTTTTTCGGCGAGGTACGACAGTCGTCGCGCCATCACCGATTCAAGCAGTTTTCCCAGCGTGTTCAGGAGTGAGATCGGGCGGTAGGCCCCAGGGACCGAGTAATCTGGTTTCTTGGGTTTCCGTAGCACCACGATCTTCGCGCTCCGCCATCGTTTCGGGTGATATCCTAAATTGATGGATGCGGCAAAAATCCCCGTGATGTGGACCTTGAGGTATTTCCATAGGTGTTTCCATACCAGTGTTGGCAGGCCGTCTTCACCAGGTGCGGTAGATCCTTTGGTGGCTTTGAGAGATCTTTGGATCTCAAGCTCAGTGATGGGTTGCCACGGGAGTGCTACAGGTGTTTGGGCGGACAAATCCTCGTGAGGTTCGTCCATTGGCGGGAAGAAAGTGTCTAGGAAAGCCTGTGCTTTGTCCTCATTTTCTATGAGCTCATTGCTGCCGGCGTGCAATGTTGGTACACATCCCCAGGCCTCTCGTGGTTTCATGTAGGTGGCTGCTTTCCACAGCTTCCCTTCCCCAGCTTCGTCAAGGAACTGTCTCCAATGTGACGCCTTCACCTTCTCGATAGTCCGGGTCCATAATCGTCGTTTGTGCTGCATCTCTTGGAAGAGGGTCATGGAGCGGGCGTCGTGTCGCCCGAATTCAGCACAACTTTCTTGCCACTTCCGGCGTAGTTGATTAACCTCGGTCTGCTGTATCTTCAGTGCTGGGGTGAACCAGCGTTTGGAGTATGGTGTGGGCCGTAGGTCGGGAGTGTGTCTATCTACCGCCCTGGCCGTCGCCTCTGTGAGCTTCTCGACTGTCTCATCCAGCGCCGGTCTGGTTTTCACCTCCTTCCATGGGCCTAATTGTCGATTTACGTCTTCGGCGATCTTGCACCAGTCCGCACGGTCGTAGGCTTTCTTTGCCTTGGCGGTGGGTTGGCGCTGCGACCTTAGGTCCCATTCAGAGTACGTTGCGCGGTGGTCTGACCCGTAGTTTTCGTGGTAGAGATGGCATTTGACGAGCAGTTCTGGGCGGCTAGTTACTGTCTGATCGAAAGTGGTGCTCTTCCCTGGGTCGTTAAAGGGCCAAAATGTCGCTGTTCCGCATGGGAGACAGCTGTGTAGGCCATGCTCTTGAAAGAAGTTGATCAATTCGCTTGCATCTTCAATGAATCGCGGTTGGATATGGCTTCCGCCCCACATTGGATGATGCCGGTTGAAATCACCTGACAGGATGATGCTTGTTGTCTTTGGATCGTCTTGGGTGTTGGCTATAAGTGTGTTTTGGATTGCCGTGAGTGCTAGTTCTGCCGACGTCTGGTTCGGTGTGAATAGCGGAACGCATGAGAGGTAAACTGAGAAGATAAGAAATTGAGAGTTGGTTGTCCAAATCTTGATTGCCGTGACGTCCGGGTGGTCGCAGGCGATCTGTCGATGGGACGAGGTTGAGACTTTTCGGCTGACGTAGATCAGACTGCGGAACCGACCTGCATCAGTCTCGGTGGTCGGTCGATAGAGCCGCCAGGCGCTGTGGTTGACGTGTGTTTGATAGGCGGTGATAGATGGTTCTTGGATCAGGAGTACATCTAGCTCTTGGCTCTGGTGGTCGTTGATAAGCGCTTCCATCTTCGGCCCTGATTTCATGATGTTTAACTGTAGTAGGCGAAGGTTTGTCTCTAACATTGGGAGTTAGAGGTTGCCGGTGTTCGGCATTGACGATCACTGGTTGGGTGTTCACCACCGCAGTCGAGGCATCGGGCTCTCACACCCGGGGGGCACCGTTCTCGCTCGTGTTGGCCAGCGCAGAGCTGTACAGACGCGCTCGAAATCAGTTTCACCATTTTACTCTCTTTGATTCTTTCCCGAACTTAATCCTGAAACACACTAGTCTTTGTTCGGTTTATAAATTCCAAAATCCCGAATCGTATTGTAACCCCGAATCACATAATCTGCTACGCTGTAATATATTGGAAATAACCATACGACTGATACCTTATATCTTGATGCCTCACGAGTCACTACTTCAATATTGACAGCATTTCTTCTTGCGCAAGGTGAATGGATTATTATTGACTAAATTACGCAAACACCACAATGAATAAAATTATATATGATGCGCCTTCGACAGAACAAGGAGCCGGATGCCAGAACGACGAGTCTTCCCTCCCTTGTCGCTTAATCGGTCACCTGACAGCGGGGTACTTTGACGACTTAGCCGTAAGCTCGCTACTGCCTCTTCTCAAAATCAGAAAGCTACGATAATGGCATACACGACATCATATGACAGTTCAAACTCTGGGTTCCAAGTTGGGCAAAACCTTGGTCACATCACTAATCAGTTCCGTGAGTAGGAGTATAACTATAAAGGAAGGTGACTAATTGGTATGACTACCTAAGTACAAGCAGAAAAATCATTGAATCAGGCGTGCCTGCGGGATTTGCGGACGACCGATCCTCACCATGACAAAGATCGTATTCAGAACACCAACGGAGGGTTATTCAAAGACTCATACTGCTGGATTCTGGACAATGAAGAGTTTCAACAATGGCAAAACAACCAGAGCAACTGTCTCCTCTGGATCAGAGGTGATCCGGGCAAAGGCAAGACAATGCTGCTGTGTGGTATCATCGATGAATTAACGCGATTGTTTGGGGACACTGCGAATATCTCGTTCTTTTTTTGCCAAGCTACCGACGTACGAATAAATAATGCCACGGCTGTTCTCCGTGGCTTGATATATTCGCTTGTCGAGAAGCAGGTATCTCTTCTCTCCCATGTGCAAAGACAGTATGATAAAGCGGGAAAAGCACTGTTCGAGGACATAAACGCATGGAATGCCCTCTCGAGGATCTTCACGGATATGCTGAAAGACCAGACCTTACAGAGCACCTATTTGATTATCGACGCCCTAGACGAATGCACGACAGGCTTACCTTCCCTTATCAACTTGATTACTCACACATCGTCTGCTTATCCACAGGCAAAGTGGATTGTCTCCAGCCGCAACTGGCCTGATATCGAAGAGCGGCTTGACACTACCCAGACAACTCCAATCTCATTAGAGCTAAATGAGTCGTCTGTATCTGAAGCTGTGGGCAAACTCATTCAACATAAGGTTCACTATCTGGCGAAAGTTAAAAAGTATAGCGAAGAAACTCGTGATACGATCTGCCGTCACTTGTCATCTAACTCGCAAGGCACTTTCCTTTGGGTAGCTTTGGTCTGTCAAGAGCTTGATAGAACAACGCGGAGGCACGCTCTTAAGAAGCTGGAGACGTTTCCTTCTGGACTGAATGCCTTGTATAGTCGGATGATCGATCAGGTTCGCAACTCAGAAGATGCCGAGCCCTGCAAGCGGATACTGGCTGTCATGTCCATAGTGTATCGGCCTATCGCGTTTGACGAGCTAGCCTCTCTTGTTGAGCTACCTGATGATCTCTCTGATGACTCTGAAGCCCTATCAGAGATTATCGCGATTTGTGGCTCCTTTCTAACTGTGCGCGAAGAGACTATCATTTTCGTCCATCAGTCTGCAAAGGAATTTCTACTCAGAGAGACGCAAAATGGGGTCTTCCCTGGAGGTATAGACGCTGAACACCATGCAGTTTTCTCTCGCTCTCTACAAGCCATGTTTAAGGTATTTCGGCGTGACATCTTTCAAATTGAGTTTCCTGGATTCCCGATTGAGAAAGTCATACCACCCAGCCCGAATCCATTAGCAGCTGCGGAGTATGCGTGTGTCTATTGGGTTGACCATCTTCACCATAGCCGACGCCATAAAAGGAATGATATAAGCGTTGACGAGATAGGGTGTGTGGGTGCCTTTCTACAAACGAAGTACCTTTACTGGCTCGAAGCCTTGAGCGTTCTAGGATGCCTATCACAAGGCATAGCAGCTATGCTAAAGCTAGAGGGTTTGTTTCGTGTGAGTAACTGCATACACCGACACCATCTCCTCTTCTGATATTAGAACTACTATAATAGGAAGCAAGCAAACCACCTGTCCTTTCACATCGGATTCAAGACGCCTCCCGATTTATTCGATACCACAGAGTAGCAATTGAACGTAGCCCCCTTCAAGTATACAGTTCACCTCTGATTTTTAGCCCTATGTTGAGTCTCACGAAAAGTTGTTATCAAAGAGAGAGACCGGATTGGATTTTGAATGAGCCATCGGTGGACAAAGATTGGAGTTCATGTCTTCAAACCCTCGAGGGGCATAGCCGTCCGGTTAACTCGATTGCCTGGTCGCAAGATGGCAGCCGACTCGCATCAGCATCGTTTGATGACACTGTTAGGATCTGGGATCCCGCTACCGGCCAGTGCACGTCAACCCTCGAGGGGCATAGCGGTTGGGTCAATTCGATTGCCTGGTCGCAAGATGGAAGCCGACTCGCATCAGCGTCCTCCGATAAAACCGTCAGGATCTGGGATTCGACCACCGGCCAGTGCGCGTCAACTCGCGAGAGACATAGCAGTTCGATTAACTCGATTGTCTGGTCGCAAGATGGAAGCCGACTTGCATCAGCGTCCTCTGATGAAACCGTCAGGATCTGGGATCCGGCAACCGGCCAATGCGCATCAATTCTCGAGGGATATAACGGTCCGGTTAACTCGATTGCCTGGTCGCAAGATGGAAGCCAGCTCGCATCAGCGTCCTCTGATAACACCGTTAGCATTTGGGATCCGGCCACTGGCCAGTGCGCGTCAACTCTCAAGGGACACAACGGTCCGGTTAACTCGATTGCCTGGTCGCAAGATGGAAGCCGACTCGCATCAGCGTCCTCTGATAACACCGTCAAGATCTGGGATCCCGCTACCGGCCAGTGCGCGTCAACCCTCGAGGGGCATAGTGTCTCGGTCACCGCAATTACCTGGTCGCAAGATAGAAGCAGACTCGCGTCAACGTCCTTTGATCACACCGTCAGGATCTGGGATCCGGCCACCTGTCATTGCACATCAATCTTCCATATCCGCTCTCCCGGCTTCATTCAATTTGATCAAGTCAATCTCAATCATTTACACACCTCAGATGGTACATTTGATATAGGACTCACCGATAACCTTACGTCTCCTCCTCACTTTTCAACCCAGCCAGAACAATACGGGTATAGTTTGAATGATGACCATTCCTGGCTAACCTATAATGGAGTCAACATCCTTTGGTTGCCTGCCGAATATCGACCAACTCACCCTTCTCATTTTGCTATGTCTTCAACAAATTTGGCGATCGCTGGTTCGTCACATCGTATCATATTCCTCGCACTTAAAGATCAGTGTGGCCTTTGACCAATGAGGTAAGTGAGCAAACGTTTGTCTTTGAAGCATAAATATCGATTATTGTTGTTATTAGGAGTTGTAATATGTGTCCCCCTCGACCAGTACATGAAGGGAACAACAGCTTTGCCCCACTCCCCCCACCATCCCCCGGCATGTGAAGAGTCATTGTTCCAACAATCTTGCTTCAGATCCCTGTGCCTTTCCTATAAATGTCTCATCTTGAGCAGCCTATATGATTATGCCCAGAATCACCAATAATAGAAAGAAGTCGTGAGACTGTATACATATGTACTCCCAAATCGGGACTACCTGTGTGATCCATGTGGGCAGATCAACACATTAAATCGCTAGGGCAACAGGCACAATACGTAATCAATTCCCTAGGTGAAACTAAGCCCACCATCTAGCATCCATTACTCCTCAGGAGGTACTGTCACTTTGCCCCTGGCTAGCAATAATTGAGGGCCCGCAGTTTTCAAATTCAAATCGTTCTTCTAGAAACAACCAAGCGCCTGGGAACTTCGAGACCTATAGTCACGTGCAGTTCCCAATACCCCAGCATCCCCCCGACCGTCAATCAAAAATCATTTCATCCGCTCCCTGAGCAGGATACAGCCGCCCCGGAGACCAGACACGTAGTCTGCCATCCATGACATCGCGCGTGCCGTTCTACTGTATCTAACGTGGTTGGCACTGAAGAATTGCCGCAGTTTTCAGATCTGTCGCCATGACAACCACGTTTCCAAGACCTACGATGGTGCTAGGTCACGTGCATCTCCCATTACTCCGTCGTTCCCAGCTCTTCAGTCAAAACTATTTCGTCCGCTCACTGAGCAGGAGGGTGAGCAGGGGTGAGCATGGAGGAATGAACTTCCCCGTGTTGGACCAACGATGGCTCATGAGGAAGTTTCCACCGCCAACACCCTGAATCTTCCACCATCATTACGCAAAATGGCGCCAAGGCTCCCTCCTTCCAAGCTCGAGATGATCCGCGACATGATACTTAGTGAATCCTTAAACACATCACAGATGGCTGAAGCAGCTGAATGTAGTGAGCGTTCAATCATCAACCTCCGCAACAACCTCCACCTATTTGGGAATGTCCGAGCGCCTCCTACACGTGTCGGACGACGACGAAGTATCACCCCTCCAATGCTAGAGGCTATATGTGATCATCTTCTTGAGAAACCTGGGCTCTATGTGGATGAGATGGCGCTCTTTTTATGGGATGAATTCCATATTCGGATAACGAATTCCAGTCTTAAGCGGGCTCTTGCATCTGTCGGCTGGTCGAAAAAGGTGGCTCGACAAAGAGCAAAGGAACAAAACGCCGATTTGCGAGACTTCTACATACCTACATAACCTATCGGAATTTCGATCCCATCACCTAGTCTATGTAGACGAGTCTGGATGCGACAAACGAATTGGTTTTAGACGGACCGGCTGGTCTCCGGTGGGCGCGACGCCTTTGCAGGTATCCGAATTCCATCGTGACCAACGTTATCAGATCCTTCCTGCGTACGCCCAAGATGGTGTTGTTTTTTCTCAAGTATTCCAAGGCTCGACCGATGCAGCCGTATTTGAAGACTTCATTGAGCGCCTTCTCAAACATTGCGGAAAGTGGCCTGAACCAAAGTCCGTGATAGTCATGGATAATGCATCTTTTCATCATTCTGAGCGAATCAAAGAAATATGTATCAATGCGGGAGTAAAACTAATTTACCTGCCCCCTTACTCGCCCGATTTGAATCCTATCGAGGAGTTTTTCTCCGAGTTGAAGGCGTTCATCAGGCGAAATTGGCGGCGATATGAACAAAGCCCGGACCAAGGATTTGAATGTTTCCTTGAGTGGTGTATCGATGTTGTCGGATCGCGAGAAGAAAGTGCAAGGGGCCATTTCCGGCACGCTGGCGTTGTTGTTGAAGACTACCATTGAGGCTCGATGTTGATGATAGATCAACGGTAATTCTGTACAAGAGTATTTCATTGGCATTGAATTTGACTAGATCAACCATGTAATACGCATTTATTCTGCCTGGTAGTGTATTGCAGGAAGTACATCGCATCAAAATCAGATAAGCAAGCAATTTCATTCAGTCACGCCTTGCCAGTGACTTTGACTGCCAGTCTGCGCCGTCAGCTTCTTACGTGCCTCGCCCATCTGACAATATCGCTTACGAAGCGGCGGGCAATCCCTATCGCAACTCCTTTTTCAATAAAAAATCCCGGGTCACGGTCCTCATGGATCTGTTCAAGATCCAGACCGTTGGCCAGCGTTGCGTCGCATGCCTGGCGAAATTGAGCCTTCAAGTTGTCGTCAACAACATTTGTTTCTTGCCATGCGCTGTATTCTCTCACAGCGACATCTCGGGGCCCGTCAATTATGAGTTGATCTACTGTCTGTCCGTTTTGCGCAGGAGATGTGTCCGATGCTGCGGTTGAGCAGGCCGTCGGTGACTGCAAGTGAGGTTGCCCTCCCATGAAGTTGATATTAATAGGCGGACAGTTTCCTGAAGCGAGCATTTTATTGCTCTTAGACTGTTGACTTGCCAGTTTCTGCTGTTCTTCCAAGAAGAGTTCCTCACGAACAGCTTCAGGGACATCGTCTTGACACTCCAGGATACCACCGCCTTCAACATAAGCGATCAGGCGTTTGAGGTGATGTGTCCGTAGCTGATAGTGTTTTTTCCCATGTGGGTCCTGCCAGCAGTGCGGACCAAGATGGCAAGATGGCGAAGGACAACGCATCAAGTTGTAGACAGCCCGCCAAATCGATTGTTCCCCAGATGTATGCTGTTCGGCATCAAGTTGTTGATCCCGCTCGTTGAGCATCCTTTTCGTGACCGATGACCTCCCTCTTTTCTCGTTGCTACCTGTTGCAACCCTTGTGGAGTGGTCGTCCTCTATATAGTTGAAGATGATCACTAGCCGCAACTCCTTGCCGCCAGCATGAAACTTCCCCCACGCGAGTAATTGTTTTTCCACGGTGGTCCAGTCAATGCTGAGGCCATTAAACCGCTTTTTCAGGTCCCGTTGTTTGCGATCGTTGATGGACACAACAATGGATGTGTCGTCCGACCTGACCCTTCGTTTGCGAGCAACCTTCTCCTCGATTACCTTATGCAGCTTTTCCCTAAGGACTAAGGGCCAGTAAGCACTTGGGGTCAGGGCTATGTCCTGTTCCGTATCCTCTGACACGGACCGGTTATTCACCTTGACTTTCCACTCGATAGTATACCGAATGAAGCTCGCGGAAAGCTCGTCGTCTGGCCTATTTGCCTCCCATTCGGAGAACTGAAGCAACTTGTTGATTTCTGGTTGGGTAGAGAGCAAGGGCTCGGCACCGTCCTGGGGCAAACGGTTCGGTGAAGGGCTGAATCCATATTCTGAGGGTGGCGTGTGTACGTAATATCCTGGGGTTGGAGCGTATTGCGAATCCTGGTCTGGGGGATCGAGGTCCTGGGCTTGAGATTCATCACCGTTGAGATATAAGTGGTTAATCATCGTCCTCAATTTCCTGGTAAAATTGAACTTCAGCACATTTTTGTCATCCGGGGTTCAACAGAAGGTGGGACCCAGGGGATCCGGCAATTTGTAGGGCATATCAGTCGGTTGTAAAGAAATGATTCATCCCACCAGTATTGTGTCTACGTATGTTTTCGCTCGTTCCACTGTGTTAGTAGAGTAGTAGAGTGAACGTGGTTGACTGAAAGGGGGAAGAGGTGAGAGGTGTAGTGGCCAGACAACCGACCGAATCTCCTGCCAGCTAGTCTGTTTGGCTTGTTTGCAAGCGCATGGTTCTAGACACGCATAGCCCATACAACCATGGTACAATAGCTATTTTTATGCCATTATTGATTACCGTACTAGAATACTGCCGAAAGTGTGGGTCAGGGGTAATCTAACCGTAAATGGTATAGCGTCATGCAAAACAAAGTTCAGCAAAGAATTAAAGAGAGTAAAGAGATGAAACTGATTTCGAGCGCGTCTGTACATATCTTATTATCGACCAGAACCCGAAATCGCTCTCTCCGGTGTCCGGCGGACTGTATCAAAGAGGCGTCTGTAACAAGTCCGACGTTGTGGTTGATATTATCTTTGATATAAATCTATTGTGGTTGTGTGCCGAGCGGGAGATAATCCCACAAATCGATGGCGGACCCACCCGTGGGGGCACCCGAAGCCGTACCCACAAACACCCAAGAAATAACCAACCTATTCTCGTCGACTGATTTTCAGCCGTCGATTGTTCCCCGCAAGAGAAGACAGCTTCGTCATGGTGATGAATTTACATCTGCACCGCGGTCGAATCCCGAGTTCGCTGGCACTGGCGAGCAGACCGGAAGAGTGACCACCAAGGAGGTCCGCCAGCTCATCGACAGCCTCAAGGACATCATCCACCACCAAACCACACTCATCCAAGCCACTAAAGACGAACTACAAGAGTTAAAGCACGAGCAGAACATTCTCCATTCCCAGAACGAGAAGCTTCATGAGGAAATCCGAGCGCTGCGAGGGCAGGTTGAAACGCCCCCATCAACACCGCCGACCAGATCATGGGCCGCGGTAGCGGCCAGCGGCAACCACACGACTCCTCAACCGACTCACCAACAACGGTCCGACAAGGATCAGAACTGCGTCCGAATCAGCACCCAACGATCGTTTGTTGATCCACGGGACAACAGCAACAGCGATGGAAACACCTTTGGACGTTATCTCCCCACAGATGCTGCTAACACATATATCCGAACGGCATTGCTCAACACACCACCCACACAGGATGTCCAAGTCGCCGGGATTGGCACCACCAAGACGGGATATTTGATTCGGTTTAAGAACCCACAGTCGGCCGAAACGGCCCGCAACAACACGGAGTGGCTGAACGAGCTTGGAAACAAGACAAAACTAGTCGTGCCACGATTCGGCATCGTTGTCCACCGAACACCAACGGAAGCATTTGATCTAGAAAACTCTAGCCCTCAAGCTATCAAGAAGATCGTGGAGGAAAACGAACTAGCTGGCCGAGGCTTCCAGATCGAGGAGGTGGCCTGGCTCAAGAAGAAGGACAAAGCGCTAGGGAAATTTGCATCGCTCGGCATCTGGTTTGACTCGGCTGAAGGAGCAGATTGGATCCTAAACAACGGCCTCCTTATCGGTCAGAGGTACATCGGCAGCGTGGAGCGCTGCGAGGTCAAGAAAAAGAGGTGTTTCCGCTGCCAACGATTTGGACACCTTGCATGGTCATGTAAGGAAACACCTCGATGTGGGCATTGCGCTGGCCAACACGAGCGAGAACGGTGCCCCCCCGGGTGTGAGAGCCCGATGCCTCGACTGCGGTGGTGAACACCCAACCAGTGATCGTCAATGCCGAACACCGGCAACCTCTAACTCCCAATGTTAGAGACAAACCTTCGCCTACTACAGTTAAACATCATGAAATCAGGGCCGAAGATGGAAGCGCTTATCAACGACCACCAGAGCCAAGAGCTAGATGTACTCCTGATCCAAGAACCATCTATCACCGCCTATCAAACACACGTCAACCACAGCGCCTGGCGGCTCTATCGACCGACCACCGAGACTGATGCAGGTCGGTTCCGCAGTCTGATCTACGTCAGCCGAAAAGTCTCAACCTCGTCCCATCGACAGATCGCCTGCGACCACCCGGACGTCACGGCAATCAAGATTTGGACAACCAACTCTCAATTTCTTATCTTCTCAGTTTACCTCTCATGCGTTCCGCTATTCACACCGAACCAGACGTCGGCAGAACTAGCACTCACGGCAATCCAAAACACACTTATAGCCAACACCCAAGACGATCCAAAGACAACAAGCATCATCCTGTCAGGTGATTTCAACCGGCATCATCCAATGTGGGGCGGAAGCCATATCCAACCGCGATTCATTGAAGATGCAAGCGAATTGATCAACTTCTTTCAAGAGCATGGCCTACACAGCTGTCTCCCATGCGGAACAGCGACATTTTGGCCCTTTAACGACCCAGGGAAGAGCACCACTTTCGATCAGACAGTAACTAGCCGCCCAGAACTGCTCGTCAAATGCCATCTCTACCACGAAAACTACGGGTCAGACCACCGCGCAACGTACTCTGAATGGGACCTAAGGTCGCAGCGCCAACCCACCGCCAAGGCAAAGAAAGCCTACGACCGTGCGGACTGGTGCAAGATCGCCGAAGACGTAAATCGACAATTAGGCCCATGGAAGGAGGTGAAAACCAGACCGGCGCTGGATGAGACAGTCGAGAAGCTCACAGAGGCGACGGCCAGGGCGGTAGATAGACACACTCCCGACCTACGGCCCACACCATACTCCAAACGCTGGTTCACCCCAGCACTGAAGATACAGCAGACCGAGGTTAATCAACTACGCCGGAAGTGGCAAGAAAGTTGTGCTGAATTCGGGCGACACGACGCCCGCTCCATGACCCTCTTCCAAGAGATGCAGCACAAACGACGATTATGGACCCGGACTATCGAGAAGGTGAAGGCGTCACATTGGAGACAGTTCCTTGACGAAGCTGGGGAAGGGAAGCTGTGGAAAGCAGCCACCTACATGAAACCACGAGAGGCCTGGGGATGTGTACCAACATTGCACGCCGGCAGCAATGAGCTCATAGAAAATGAGGACAAAGCACAGGCTTTCCTAGACACTTTCTTCCCGCCAATGGACGAACCTCACGAGGATTTGTCCGCCCAAACACCTGTAGCACTCCCGTGGCAACCCATCACTGAGCTTGAGATCCAAAGATCTCTCAAAGCCACCAAAGGATCTACCGCACCTGGTGAAGACGGCCTGCCAACACTGGTATGGAAACACCTATGGAAATACCTCAAGGTCCACATCACGGGGATTTTTGCCGCATCCATCAATTTAGGATATCACCCGAAACGATGGCGGAGCGCGAAGATCGTGGTGCTACGGAAACCCAAGAAACCAGATTACTCGGTCCCTGGGGCCTACCGCCCGATCTCACTCCTGAACACGCTGGGAAAACTGCTTGAATCGGTGATGGCGCGACGACTGTCGTACCTCGCCGAAAAACACGGTCTGCTACCGGACACCCAATTTGGGGGGCGACCAGGCAGAACCACTGAACAGGCCCTTTTGGTCCTCTCCAACGCGATTGACCGGGCGTGGTACAAACACAAAGTGGTGACGCTAGTAGCATTTGACTTGAAAGGTGCCTTCAACGGAGTCAACAAAGTGAGCCTAGACGTCTGCCTGCGGGCCAGAAGAATCCCAACTGTGGCTAGAAAATGGATTGCGAGTTTCATGAGCGACCGCCACGCTAGTATAGGATTTGATGACTTCCGCACGAAGACCACATCACTAGCAAACGCGGGGCTAGCACAGGGCTCGCCTCTCTCCCCCATTCTGTTCGCCTTCTTCAACTCCGACCTAGTCGACCAACCGGTCGATTCCCACGGCGGCGCATCCGCCTTTATCGATGACTACTTCCGCTGGCGAGTAGGACGCTCAGCCGACGAGAACCTAGCCAAGATCCAATCGGAAGACATTCCCCGTATCGAAGCATGGGCCCGTCGAACTGGGTCTTGCTTCGCAGCCGAAAAAACCGAATTGATTCACATCACCAGGAAAAGACACGAACAGCTCCAAGGTCAAGTGGTTATGAACGGAGAGACAGTCGAGCCGTCGCCCACTGCTAAGCTACTGGGGGTGGTCTTCGACCAGGAGCTTCGCTGGAAAGAACACGTCCAGCAAGCAATCAAACGGGCAATCAAGGTCAGTATTGCTCTGGCCGGACTGCGGCATCTACGCCCAGAACAGATGCGACAGCTCTACCAAGCCTGCGTTACTCCGGTCATGGACTACGCGTCGACGGTCTGGCATGACCCTTTGCGAGATAAAACCCACCTACGACATCTGAACACAGTCCAGAGGACTGTGTTGACCCGCATCTTATCAGCTTTCAGAACGGTGGCCACGACGACCCTGGAAGTAGAAGCACACGTTCTGCCAACGCACCTCCGTCTCCGCCACCGAGCGCAGAACACCATCGCAAGCCTCCACACTCTACCCCGGGATCATCCGGTTTGGGATGCACTACGGCGAGCCCAGAAACGTAGGAACAACATCGGGTCGTACGCTCGTTTTCCACTGGCGGAAGCCCTGAAGACCATGAACCTAGAAAGATTGAATGAACTAGAGACGATCGACCCACGACCACTGCCCCCATGGCGAGCCGAGTCCTTCGCGGAGATCGAGATCGGGTCCGACCGAGAGACGGCCAGAGAACGGGCTGAGACCGTAGGGTCCACATCCGCCATCGTAGTCTACTCTGATGCTTCGGGACGTGAAGGCCACCTAGGTGCTGCTATCGCTGCACTCGACAACAAGCTAGAGGTCATTGAGTCTCAGCAGGTCCAGGTGGGACCGATGGACCGGTGGTCGGTTCACGTAGCGGAGCTGATTGGCATCTTCTACGCTGTCAGTACAGTGTTCAAGATCAGCCATCAGCGGCCAAGAACAGAAGATAGTGAATCAAAGTTCGCAACGATCCTCTGCGACAGCAGATCGGCCTTGCAAGCAATCCAGAATCCGGGAAACAAATCAGGGCAACGCATCATCCACGCGATCCTCCAGGCGGCTACGGAAGTCCAAGCAAAGGGAACCGCACTTCGTCTCCAATGGATACCTGGACACTGCGATAATACAGGAAACGACGCGGCAGATCGGTTAGCCAAAGACGCGGCACGCCCGGGCAAAACACACCCCTTCCGCCCTCTGCTGACGAGGAAGAGAGCGCTTATCCGCGACACCATCCGCGCCCAGTGGGAGCGGGAATGGAAAGCATCTACCAAAGGGGGTCACCTGCGGAACATTGACAGTACTCTACCGGCGGTCTACACCAGGAAGCTGTATGGGAATTTGCCCAGGGGCCGGGCGTACCTGTTGACACAGCTACGCACGGGCCATAATTGGCTATCCACCTACGCCAAGACCTTTGGCTTCCGCGCCAATGATCAGTGCGTGTGCGGCGCACAAGAAACAGTCACCCATGTGCTGGTGGACTGCCCAAATCTGAGGGAAATTCGACGAAAGTTAAGGAGTGAAGTTGGGGACGCGTTTAACAGCGTGTCGAGTCTGCTGGGAGGCTCAACTGAAGGTGAGAAAGGTAAACCAGACACCGTGTCGCGAGCCAGGACGGTTGACGCCGTGCTGGACTTCGCTGAGGCGTCACAACGATTCAAAAGTCGCGCGCCACGAGGGCAGCCTAACCAATCGAACGGCAATTAGGCCACGATAGGCCTTGACGAGGCTCCAAGTTCGTTTTTAGGAAGTGGGACATCACACGTGTACATACAATGATATATATAGTTGCTGTATCCTGTATATCGCCAAAAGCGAGAGGTCAGGGTAAATGATATCATCCATCCATCCATCCATCCATCCGTCTGTACATATCTGATAACAGTATGGTGCATTAAGTATTGCCCTTGTAATATTTTCCTCGGCGTCTTTTATGACTTGTTCCGGGGGATCCCCCCCCTTTTCCGCCAGGCAGTCAACTTATAACGTAACCGTTCTCACTCGGCGGCTCGCCCTGTCTATAGCGCACTCACCCTAAACGCCCGAGTCGCGCGACGCAAAAGCGGCGCTCACCTATCAACTTATACCACGGCATGGTTTTGAGCCTTTATAGTCATTAAAACTGTCGTAACTGACACATACGACCACAGGGTGTGGAGAACAGGGCTTCCCGTCCGCTCAGCCGTACTTAAGACACGCCGGTGAGTTAGTAGTTAGGTGGGTGACCACTAGCGAATCCTCACTGTTGTATGCTTTTGCTCTTGTTTTTTCCCCCTCTCTTCCTTACTTTCGCTCTCTAAAATAACATCGGTCGGTGATCGGGAGTCCAATTTTCTTTTTCGGTTAAACTTCCGAGGTTGTCTTTACCTAGTTGATTTTTGGTCATATCACATAGATTAGAACTAACTATCGATCGATCTCTAATGAGAAAGCACAAGCACTCTTCCACTACTCCGTAGACTTCATGAATTAAACCACATTTTGGCCAGTCGTACTACTCGATCGGAATTCACATCCAAGTAGTACCGCCACGGGCTCACGTTGACATGCAGCGCGGTGCAGTCCCAGTAAAATGTGACCGGGCCCTCACGACCGTGTTTGAATGCTTGGACTGCGTCAAATATAGTAAACGCACCATAAATCATATATCCGACCGATGTAAGACATATACCACCAGTAAACCCAAAATCATATCGTTTTGCTACTCTTTCTCTCCATTTCCGAATACTTCCCCCTTGAAGCATATATCTGATCACCGGGAAAATGCCGAGGGCGCATACCATGTACAGCGCAGCAATGGAAAGGGCAACAAAAGTACCGAGAAAATTCGTGGCACCCGGGAAGTATTGGTTAGGAAATCTGAAGGCGTAGGAGCTGAAAAGCGTCTGTTTGGAGCATATCTGCTCTGCTGAGCATGTCGAAGCTCCGGGCGCATCCGCGATGCGAGAGGCGAGACAGTCGTATGCATCATATGGTGACCACTTTCGGTCAGCGGATTGAAAGCTGTATGTGCAGATGTATGCCGAAGCTATCCACAATAGAGTTGCCAGTATGTTGAGTGTCCACTGTGCAATTTGCTGTGCCGTTTCAGGAGCGCGTCGGATGACACACTCATACGGATGATAATTCAGCATATAAGAATATTTCCACATCGCTACCCAGCCGAGCATGGATGGAGCAGGGTATCGTGTTGGATTCAACATAAACCTGCCGAAACCAAAGCACCACCAGATAAAGGAAGCGAGATCCCAGGCTAGGATTAGCCAAGTATCCCACTCAAAACCTTTGCAGCGCGTCAACTTGTCGCTGTATAATGCCTTGTGCATCTTTCTGAATTGCCAAAAAGCCAGTAGGAAAGTGATGGCAGTTATATCCCATGCTTCAAGAAGTGTCGGCCAGAAGGCCGATGGACGTGGCGTGGAAGGTATGATCTTGAAGTCGTTGTAACAGGTCATTACTTCGCACCAGGTGTAAGTGGAATTGTTGTTTTTCGAATTTCCCGACTGTGACAAGGTGGTATGGCCCAAGGTCCCGACAGACCCTGGGTTGTTGTTCTGCTGTAAAATGGCTTTGATAGAAGGGCAATCAGGCGTAGTGGTGGCAGACACGGACGTGTTGTAACAATCCTTAAACACGGTATTCTTGTACAGCGCGTATTCCGGGCTGTTGTATTCAAAGCCGCTATTGTCCGTTTGTACTACGAACAAGACCGTGAAGGCAATCCCGGCTCCTAAAAGAGATATCCAGAGCAGGAGGCCAGACCATATGATGCCAGTTGTTCTTTTTTGGCTGTGCTTGTTCGTGGTTGGCTTAGGAAAACCTGGAAACTTGCACTCGGTGGGACCGACTGGTAAATATCAGCATTGGCTAAGAAACCACTCCGTAAACAATGGGCATATACACACAGTCATCTCGGCTCTCGATATTGACCACCGTACTATACTCAAATTCGTAGGAGCGTGTTCCTAGTTGAGGGATGTAATGCCTCGGCATGTTGAGGAAAGATTCAAATCCCAAAGTGGGAAGTCCGCGTGTTGCCCCAGGCAAGGAGATAGAAAGATTGATGGTGGGGCTCAGAATGTTTATAGCAAGAGAGTCTTCTGCAATTTTTTTAAGCCTCGTCCCCTTATAATGGCAGGAGACGGACCGAGCCTTGTGCAGCCCACTCTTGCGCCTCCTTACATGCCCAGCCACGGGCGTAGACCTTCGGCTAAATTTAGTTCTGTTCAGGGTAAGGATTGGTTCATTGTATTAGAATGGCTTAGGCACATCACTAGTGGCAGCCACTGTGTATTTTTGCGACTAGAGAGGGTTTCACCAACGCCCGTAATCCAGGCCAGTCTAGTTACAACCTAATATTTCAGCGCCCCGGAAGGCTACGACCCAATCACATAGGAAAGCTCTGTGGGTCCAACTGTCAGCCTTGGCTTTGTTGGTCTTAGACGTGTCGTTGAACATGTGATATATGCACTCCGTGCAGATGCCAAGATGCCAAGAAGCCGAAGGACCCCGCGACCTGCACCCACCTCAAGTGGGCATTGAACAAACCCTAAGCCTAACCCAAACCCAAACGACGGTATCCGGACTCTCGGGATGACTGGCTCTGGCCACCGCGTATTCCACGCCTAGACGACTCATGTATACGGGGGGTTTCTTACCTAAATTTACTGAGCAAACTCTGGCCTGTAACGCGTGACATGCAAGCGGGGAATATATTTAGACTTCGTGCATTAAAACCGGCCCGACGCGTCTCCAGGAGCCTCGGGAAGCTTACCAGGAGATAAGGCTTTGCCTCGTGTCACTCGGGGCAAATTACTCTACGAAGAACAAATAGAAGGCAAAGCTTAAAAGCGACCTAATCGTAGGCAACTATAGCTCAGCCAAGAGGGTAAAATTGAGCGAAAGGGGAAAAACAAAAACAAAAATATACGAGAGCGAGGATTCGTCAGTGGTCCCCCACCTAAGTACCAACTCACCGGCGTATAGCTTAACTACAGCTGAGCGGACGGGAAGCCCTGTTCTCCACACCCTATGGTCGTATGTGCTAAGATTATCAATTTAGGGAATAATATAGGTATATTCTCATATTGTTGGTATAAGGATACTACTCCGTAGGTGAGTGCGCAATAGACGAGGTGGGAATCGGGTGAGAACTGGATAAGAATCCTTCGGACCGGTGCGACCACTGCACTGACCCTCCAGCTAAGCAATGGTAGAAAATCATTGGCCACGAGCCCCCAGCTGAAACAGTTATACTCTTGGCATCTGCACATAGCCCCTCGTGGCAATGGCTTTTGCCTAGGGTGAATGAGAGCCAATTATAAGTACGAATCAGTGGACGACCTCATGCCGGGCGCTTAGAAAGCATTGCTGCCTAGTTAATAACTAATTAGTTGGTTAACTTAGCTAGGTTAGATCAGCACCGAGTAAGCATCGTGGAATTTGGGGGCCACTAGTCCTAGCTGAACAGCGCTAATCTGCCTCGTGCGTAGTTTACCAGTCCCATCATCGCCCTCTCTGGAATATTTACACTCTAGCACTTTTCTGACCATGTATGACCTCAAAGAGTATACTGTGGGCTGGATCTGTGCTCTACCTACGGAGTACATCGCCGCCCAGGAGTTTCTTGACGACGAGCATGATCCGCCGGAGTTCTTGCCAGTTCACAGCAAAAACCATTATTCCCTAGGGCGGATGGGAAAGCATAATGTGGCTATTGCAACGTTGCCACTAGGAGAGCAACCTCTCCAGTGCCATGCCCCTTCCACAAAAATGATCAGCTCAACGGTGATTTGGATACATCGCTTGAGTACCTGCCAGGCCATCCCCGGATCAAACTTGGCGATGAAAAAGGGTTGTTTGAATTCATTCGCCGCGAAGTCTGGTCAGAGGACCTCGAGTCGATATCGGGCAGACTTTGGTGGATGTCAAAGCAGGATAGCAGAAATATCTCTTCGTTGCACCGACAACGAGTGAAGGGCCGACAGATCATCGTCACCGAAGATCCTCGGCTACATCTCGTCTGGATCGACAACCGAATCTTCCTTAAACCCCTTCCCCAATACATCACGTCCTTCGTATTCTGGGATATGTTCATGAGTGATCCGTCTAAACATGGTGCGGCGGTGAAGCTGAGAAAGGCCGCACTTGGGTATCTGCGAACGTAATTCTACCTGATTCAGTATGAATCAGATCTACGAATTGCATAAGATCCGGCTCTCTGCCTGGTTCCTAAAGAGGTGACGTGGCATCGATTTTGCCAGTTCACCGCCCGTTTGATCGACATCACGGAAAACGAAGTTTCGGGACGATATCATTACGGAGAGATCCGATTGACCCGGCTGAACTATTACGCGCCCATGCTCCTGGGCAAAAGCCACTACCAACGTGAGAATTATCAGTATCGAGCGTATTTTGCTCGGATTCAAGGTCCCTTGATATCTGCATTTGCGTTTTTCTCGATCGCTCTGAATTGTATGCAGGTTAGCCTCGCAGCCTCTACATCCGATGAGAGATATTCGAGTGCTTTGTTATTTGCAGCTTGCTACTGGCTCAGCACTTTGATCGGATTTGTAACTGGTGTCCTTATGCTGATGTTAGTACTCCTTTTCCTTTTTAAAGTGATCAAAGAGTGGAGGTTTGCGATAGCCCATCGGCTACGGTGGAGAAAAAATCACAGCAAAGACCAGAGGGCCATGTGTAACGACGAACTTGAGTAGAGTGCAGGGCATTTTACATAATTCATGATACTGTAACTAACTTGAGGCATTCTTGGAATCCCCTTACATAACCGTTACGTGCCGAGAAAGAATCAACTCCACTTTCAAGGCCCGGCCACAGTAAATTGAGGGCCGTTGCTCAGCACACCTTGTATTATATTCTTTTTCACTGTGTTAGATTGCGACATACATGTACTATTGTGGTTATAGGGCGGTAAAAGTTGAAATTTGCAGTATTAGACAAAGAAGATTTTACGGCGGCCCTCATCTTCGTGAGGCCCGCTTGATTACTGGAGCCAGAGAAATTTCTCAGTACAGTTAAGGCGATTTCGAGAACGCTAGGCCACACTATAGAATCTCCGTACGAACCTCCACCGCTGCGTCAAGAATAATATCTGGGAAATACTGACCTTACTCAATTTATGGACTAATTTTGACTGTTGATCAATTACCCAGACTTGAACGGTCGCGGAGTGTTCGACATTCATTGTTGATTTCCACATCTGCCGATCATGGCTACAGCACAGAGAGATACAAGTGCACTTATCCGGGCGAATTTCAACTAATTTCACCAATTGTCATTCTTCACCAAGGGTGTTTAACGAGATCTAGGTTGAACCATCGTTTATGGTGGGGTTGGTGGAATATCTTACCGTTGAATTAGTCATTTGTCACGTGGAGCTCAGGGTCAATAGAATCACCGAGGAACAGGAAATCTTTTGGTTCACCTTGGATTGGATTTCACATGAACGTCCCTCCCATTAGGAGCTAAGTCTAAAGTGGCTAGCTTAGAGCTAAACCAGGCCTGGCTAGTTTCAAATCGCGCCACGTGATGTAAGGGCAAAAACCAAGTTAATGTTATGATAACCAGTCTTTGGAAGAAAAATAACTTTTAGATGGTGGTAATAGACTAATTCGATATAACGAAGGAATCCCCTCTCTCCTCGAATGAAGGAAGTCTGAGGAAGTTGCATCTGGTATACAGTAGTATCTTCGAAGTGATAGTAGCAATGATTATAGGTACCTGCTCAATACCCCGCACGCGTTGATTGATTCAGCCGCACCAGCCTTGCTGGTGCGGCTGTCCATGAACAATCGACGTAAATTCCCTTCTCCTAAAAATTACTATTGTACTATCAAGTATAAGTATAAATCACTATGGCTAATCAGAGAAAGTCGAACGTCTTCCGGGTGACAGGCTTGTTGAAGGAACAGCCCGATGGGGATCTCGAGACCACATTACGGGAGGCCCTCAACGACAACTTCACCAACGAGGAGAGATCGTGTATCACGGCTGCGATCACAATCGTACCTTCATGCTACGAAAGTGTCACACAGAGAGTGGCGCTGGTACAGTTTCGCGGCGGGTTGCCTCAGTTCCTCCATAGCCTCGATCCGCTCGGAGACTGGCAGGTTGAGATGGAAGACGATGATATCAACTTTGACTGCCACTTCTTTGGATTTACTCAGCTCTATACGCTGGACGAAAATAAGCCCGTGGATGCAGAGTAAGGATATACACCTCCATCTACACCTGAAAGATCAATACTAACTAATCATGCAACATAGTATTATTGCGATCGCCGGACTCGATGGACATGCGTACGGATCGTGGCAAGGAAGAGGAAATCTCGGTCGCATGTGGCTCCGGGACTTCCTGTCGAAGGATCTGCCGCAGTGTCGCACAATGATCTACGGGTACAACTCCAAGCTGTCGAGCCACGGAGTCGGTACGATCCTCGACTACGGGCGAGAGCTGATGGAGGAGATCAAGAAAATCAGGAATACAAAGGAGGTAGGAGACATGATCTGACTATCTATTGATAGCAAGTGTAGGCTGATTGTTCGAGTAGCTCCAGCAGAGACCTTTGATTTTCATCGCGCACAGTTTTGGAGGCATTATCGTGGCTCACGTGAGACCCCCATTTGATGCTCAGTATTATTTGTATGCTGAGACAACGTATAGTGCCTGGTCAGGGCCATCCAGACGATGGAGGAAGACCACCCGGCGATCACGTCGCTGCATCGAGCCACGTACGGCATGATCCTCTTCGCCATCCCACATAAAGGATTAGTGATGGACGATATCCAGCAGATGCTAGCAGGGGATAAGAGTTATCTGCGAGAGCAACTACTGCGACAGATTTCTAGCAACTCGGATATCCTGATCCATCAACTGGCCGACTTTAAAAATCTCATCCGGGACCGCAAAGTGGTCAGCTTCTATGAGACAGAGCAGACGAAGCGGTTGGTATTAGTATGTGTTGGCCTTCATCTCAAAGAGACTATGATATACACTGACGATTGTAGGACTCGGAAAGCGGACGTTGGAAACGCACTGGGGAATTCATGACAACGGTTGACACAGACTCGGCTCTTCTTCAGCTTCCCGACCACGTAGAAGACAAGGTGCCGCTGCATGCAGATCACTCAATGATCGTGAAATTCGACAAGCGTGATGCGGCCGGGTATCAAACGGTGCGCGACAGACTTCAACAATTCTCGAAGGACGCACCATCGTTGGTGGCGGCTCGGTTTAGTGAGTAACTTGCTCCAGTATCTTTTTGCAGCGTGTGTTTGCGAGCTAATGAAGAGCATTTTCAGCACAGACGCGTCAGAAGCCTCAGCCGTGCTCTACGGTGCCTTTTAAGAGGGACTCAACATTTGTGGGCCGTGAAGCCAAGATCAGTGCGATCAAGGAAAAACATGGGATGATCGGCCAGCGTCACGAGCGGGTAGCACTCGTGGGGCTTGCCGGCGTTGGGTGAGCTGACCCTCTAAGATGGCCTATAGAATCATAACTGATAGGCCTGATATTTAGAAAAACCCAGACAGCCATCGAGTATTCTTATCGCGTGCGAGATGCAACACCAGACATCTGTATTTTTTGGATCCACGCCAGCAATGCAGCGCGGTTGGAACAGGGCTATCAGGAGATTGCCACAGTTGCAGAGATTCCGGGACAGGACGATCCAAAGATCAATATCCTTCAGCTCGTGTACCAGTGGTTGCGTGATCCACAAAATGGTTGCTGGCTGATGGTATTAGATAATGCGGATGACCATGGTATCTTTTTCAATGCCACTGAATCCAATGAACGAGGGCCACTGGAGAGGTTCCTGCCCCAGGCCGCGCATGGATCAATCCTGGTCACGTCCCGAAATGGTCTTGCCGCACGGAATCTGGTGGGGAGCGATGGGCATGTGATTGACGTTCAGCCAATGAACGAGGAAGAGTCGCTTGCCCTTTTACGGGCAAGAATTCCGGCCCCCCAATCTGGAGAGGACGAGAAGGCACTGGTCCAGGCACTTGAATACATTCCGCTGGCAATCACTCAGGCGGGATCCTATATTGCCAACCGGTCGCCACTTATTACCGTCTCCACATATCTTCGACTTTTCCATGAAAGCGAATCGAAGCGGACACGGCTTCTTCAAAATGAGGATTCCACAGATCTCCGTCGCGATCCCAGCATTCGGTATGCGGTGATCACCACGTGGCAGATCTCGTTTGAGCAGATTTGTCAGGAGCGGCCCGCGGCGACAGATCTCCTAGCGTTGATGAGTATGTTCGATCGGCAGGGAATCCCGGAGGACTTGGTGCGCGAGTCTGAACAAGATGAGCTAGACTTCCACGATGCATTGGTACCGCTGCTCAATTATTCTCTGATCCAACTGGAAATTAACGAACGGTTGTTTAACATGCATCGCCTAGTGCAGTTATCGGTCCGAGCGTGGCTGGAGATGCACCAGCAGCTCTACAGCTGGCAGGCCAAATCACGAGGGATTGTGGCACGGGTGTTTCCAGATGGCAACTACGAAAGTTGGACAAAATGTCGATCGCTCCTAGCGCATGCCAAGAGTGTGCTGAATTCTATATGTGACTTAGAGGGTGAAGATCGATTAAATACCGCTACCCTCTTATCTAATTGTGGATTGTTTCTAGATCTTCAAGGAGCTTATAAAGAGGCAGAAGCGATGTACCGACAGGCGTTGGAAGTACGAGAGAAGGTATTTGGACGCGAGCATCCCGACACGCTTGCCAGTGTCAATGACCTTGCCTCAGTCTTTGAAAGGCAAGGGAAATATGAAGAGGCGGAAGCGATGCATCGACGGGCGTTTGAAGCACGAGAGAAGGTGCTTGGACGCGAGCATCCCGACACGCTTGCCAGTGCCAATAACCTTGCCTCAGTGCTTGACATGCAAGGGAAATATGAAGAGGCCGAAGTCATGCACCGACGGGGATTGCAAGGATGCGAAGAGGTGCTTGGACGCGAGCATCCTCACACGCTCACCAGTTTTGGTCACCTTGCGTCGGTGCTCGGCAGCCAAGGGAAATATGAAGAGGCCGAAGCAATGCATCTACGGGCGTTGGAAGGGAGTGAGAAGGTGCTTGGACGCGAGCATCCCTCCACCCTCATCAGTGTCAATAACCTTGCCTTGGTGTTTGACATGCAAGGGAAATATGAAGAGGCCGAAGCAATGCATCTACGGGCGTTGGAAGGGAGTGAGAAGGTGCTTGGACGCGAGCATCCCGACACGCTTACCAGTTTGAGTAACCTTGGCTTGGTGCTTGACAGCCAAGGGAAATATGAAGAGGCCGAAGTATTGCATCGACGGGCGTTGGAAGGGAGTGAGAAGGTGCTTGGACGCGAGCATCCCGACACGCTTGCCAGTGTCAATAACCTTGCCTCAGTGCTTGACATGCAAGGGAAATATGAAGAGGCCGAAGTCATGCACCGACGGGCGTTAGAAGCCCGAGGGAAGGTGCTTGGACGCGAGAATCCTCAGACTCTCACCAGTGTCAATAACCCTGGCTTGGTGCTTGACAGCCAAGGGAAACATGAAGAGGCAGAACCGGCGCATATACGGGCACAGACTGTGAATTCTAGTACTCTCATGCAGCAAGGAATCCTGTCTAGGAAAATATTCTCCACTTCTCATCCGTTGCTTCAATTGTCGCAAAAGCATCTTCGATCACTGGGAGAGCAACATGACCGTGATGTCGACTGAGATCTTGAGACACGATTTCGGTGCCATCGGCAAACTAGCTACCCGTCTCAAGGCAAATATTCCCAGCATGAGTAGAATGCAGTTACTTCGGAGCATCGGTATCATAGTAGTACTGTGTGGTTTTTGTGCTGTAGGAATTCATCAATTTTTCAGCCTTGGATTAGTGCTCGTTGGCCACGGAAAATATGAAGAGGCGGAAGTGTTGTATGACAGGCATAAGAATGATACGTTGACGTGTTTGAACGTAATGTCCCGAAACAGTGATCAGTCTCTATATTTGTTGGACTTCCGCGATCAAAAGGGAAACTTGAAGAGGCTTTGCAACCCCAGACCTGTATCTATGGCATTTAGTGTTGAGATAGCATACATCCGAGTACATCAATACTTTGTGACTTCTCCTGCAGCAATGTATACACTCATAGTTTGATGCCGTCCCGAGGTACCTTTACCAGTGTTTCCTGAAAGCAGGCCATCTCCTATTTGCGGGCAGGGTTGTGGGGCGGCTGTTCCTTTTAACGGCGCTAGTATTTCTCATACCTCATGTTACAAGATTCTTTACTTTCCGTGTATTCCCCTTGTCAGTACTTTTGTTTTATGTACCTTTCTGCTGGCATGGTTCCACCAAATTTGGTATATTTTCAAACAAAACCAATTATAGTGATATTAAAAACGAGTAAACATAACTATGTATGCGATATGATACGACATTGTGTCTCCTATCCATCCTAGACGTTTTTGTGGATGATCTTGGCGTCATGGTAGTAAACAGTGGGTTTTTAGGTGGTCCATGAGAACCTGTAATCCACCACTCTAACATTGTGTAATTTTTTATTTGAAAAGAGGCCTCAAAGAAGAGATCAAATAAATATCGTTTTTGATGCTCTCAGCAATATCATAAATGTGGATTGGGAGTGACAAGGGTCGAATATGTAGGTACCTGGTGGACGTTTCATCACACAGGGCATTTCATGTCACCGGGATGGGGGTGTATATGCCCCGATGAAAAGAGTACACATGACGTGACGGGGCGGGGTCTTGCGCACCATCCCTATAAGCAACGATTCCTGGAACCAAGCAAAGGACCCCAGGGCTAAACATCTGTCCCTGGGAGTTCTAGGCTTATTTTTCGGCGTCCGGGAAGCGCTGTGAGGGATATACACAAAGTGCACAGGCACTGTACAAGGATTTTCCGAATTTCTCTATTGCAATGAAGATTTGATCGGTTCACTGTATGTGATATACTCTTTGGTTTCCAGGAGCCTATAGGCACCGAAAATTTGAAACAAGACCCATCGCGCGTTTTATTTGGAATTTTGGAGCGGATCATGCCTCCTAGGAGTTTGTATTCATAGATCGCCGGGCCCACTGGCTTCATTGACATGAGCACTATATATGAGGCTTTTTTTCAGATCAGTCCTTGCCAGACTCCCGCCTATAAATACATCGATTATATTGACCGTCCCATTGCAGAAATATCCCACAGAATCACCGTAGAAGTTCAGGTATGGAGTTCATCTGTGAAAGGAAATTACTTGCTAACCAGCCAAAAACAAATATCACTGTCTCTAACGCCTGAGTCTAGCCAATCAATCTACTCAAATTGTGCCTCAGAACAAGCAATCATGGCCAATCCCTTGCCTTGGGATGATAGGTCCAAGGAACCAGGCTCGGCCTCCAACCCTATCCTTATCGATATCACCGACACCTCTTGCAGGCAGAACACGCCAGAACAGGTTGATTCTGATGGAGAGACCGTGCGCTTGAGTACCCCAGAATTCTATGAAAATCTGAGTGATGGAGGCCCGCCCGCTCCACTAAAGGGACCGGCACTCACGGATTCTACTCCTGTTGTGACGCCATCCAGAGTGCTAAATGGCCGGAGATTCTAATTTACTCATTCCTCGGAGCTCAAATCGAGAGACTGTAGCCATCTGGAAAGGAAAAAGAAGGAACTTATTGAGACTTCCAAAGGTAAGCAAATACCGTGGATTTGAAATGGTTGAAGTTTCCTTGAACTATCATTTACTAACAGGCTTACCATAGAAGCTTCAGAAAAGAAAGACCAAAGCCTCACCTCCCTAGGACAGCCTCTTATGGCGTACTCTGGACACCCTGGCCTCTCGAGACCCGGCCAGAGTGGTGCGTTGGGACCATCGATCAATACTAGCCATACCGTGAACGACAATTTACCTCCGTCCTATCGACGAGGCTCCGTTAGAATCAAAAGAAAACCTGGGGAAGAGCCTAATCCTAGAACCAGACGATCAAAGCGCCTCATGAGGAGAAAAGATGAGTAGAAGAGCGGTGTATGTGTCAGTGGTTGATTACCACTAGAGCCCGTTTCGGTTTGGATCTACAGAAGAGGAGCTTATTTAGAAGCAAGCCCCTTAGTCTGAGGATGTATGGATGTACATATGGAGAAGAACAGCTGTTTAGTGATAATTCATTGCTACGTACGAGACCTTACCGATCCATCGATGGTCGACAGTATGTACTGCACAGGACATTTCGAACCCACTGATACAAGAATCCTATCTGTATTTCCCAACCTGGTTATGAGACACGTGCCATTATGGCGAAATTCTGGCGAGTCTCATGAATGCGGCTCGTCAAGATTGCACATACAGTACTGAAACCAACAGCCGATCATAACTGGGTGAGAAATACAGGAGGATCAGTAATCCGAGATTGTTTTCAAGTAAGCATCACCTGACCATTACGTAACCTAGATGGCTCGCTCACTGAGCGTGGTGAATTTAAAGATAGCATTGTTGATGCTCTCGGGGCTTTATAGAACGAGGTCGGTACGAGAGTCAGTAGCTAATTCGCATTTGTCAACCATTTCTGATTCAGCATGGCGATAATATCCTCCTTTAGCATTTCGAACATTCCAAAGCGAAAGCTATTTGAACAAAAAGTAATATCAGGGTTTATATGAGACAAACTTGTCGGAGTTTTGTTGACCAATTAAGACTAGTCTACAGACTCTTAAACATCATTCGTCAGGCCTTAGTACTGGAGCAATGTGATTCCCCAATTAGCTATTCTGAGCCGCATGTAAAGTGGACAAAGAGTATATACTGAAGTGGGAAGAGCGCGCTGGCAGTCTGACATCGCAGACAAGACGACGGGGGTGCTCAGTGCTCGGTGGGGATCATGGGGAGAGAAGCAGGGCGCCAATACGGCCGGAATAGGAAAACGATGCTGTTTCTCGAATATGTGTAGGATGCTTGATCCTCTATGCTCGCGGGCTAAAACTACCATTCTGGGCGTCGTGCGCATATGAGATGTGGCGCGGTTTCCCTACTACAATAGGTGAGTGCGTAGCCATAATATCTGTGTAATTGTGAGGCTACTACAAGACAAGACTAACACTTCATATTCACACCGCAACCCCGCTAGGATAGTGTTGAAATGTGCAATTTCACGACCGAGTTGTTATTATATCATATTTTGTTTCAACATAGCAGCAGTGCGTCAGTTATTACCCTGGGCGCTTTAGTTGAAAGATGTGCGTAGGTGACTGAAATGGACACACTAACTACCCACTCGTAATCCGCCAATAAGATGTTATTCTGAATATACCTTAGCCCCTCCCCCCCACCCCCCACCCAAAAATCGGGAATGGTCAAGCACGTGTATCAACACGCGCAGAGTCATGACCATATTACCCCATGCCAAAATCTCAGAGCCTGGGGCTTTCCCAACCACCTAGGTTCGATTTGCCCGGACCTTAAAGAAATACACAATTCAACGCAGTAGCTACAGTACGTCTCGAAACTGGCGCGACCACCTTCCACTCTTTGACTGTTTAGAACCCAAATGACTAAGCGGCGCTAATACATCTTGGGAGTTTTTCCGAGATAGCCCTGTCAGTGCGGATCGTATTGTTTCTTACAATGAATACCTCAGGCTGTAGTTGGCTGTTTTCGCTTGTAACATCAATACGCTCGACACCTCCGTGCCCCACCTCGAAACCTCTCTCCCTTGGTATACGAACTCTTGATGATAATCATAAGTGAGTGGCGCTACGATGGCACCCAATCTTGCCGCGTCAAAGCATGAGCTTATTTATGATATGATTCACAGTGGAGAGCTATCTGTCTCGCAGATGGCAAAGGCTGCTGGCTGCCACAGGAGTACCATCCTAAGAATATCCTCCAATATAAAAGACTTTGGTAGCGTCAAAGCGCCACCGAATAAAGGTGGTCGACCACGAAGCATCTCTCCGGTTATGTTGACAGCTCTTTGTGATCACCTGCTCGAAAGGCCTAACCTCTACCTTGACGAGATGGCAATTTTCCTGTGGGACGAATTCGAAATCCAAGCAACAAAATCGAGTATCAGCCGCGCTCTTGCTTATAAAGGCTGGTCTAAAAAGACCGCCCGAGTCAAGGCTCGAGAACGCAACCTAGATCTGCGTGACGAGTATACTCATTTTATCTCGGATTTCCAGTCGTACCACCTTATCTATGTGGACGAGTCTGGATGTGATAAAAGGATAGGCTTTAGGCGAACGGGATGGTCTCCACTTGGGGTGGCCCCAGTTCAAGTGTCCAAATTCCACCGGGATCAACGATATCAGATACTACCGGCATATGCTCAAGATGGTATTGTTCTCTCTCGGGTGTTCCGAGGCTCGACTGATGCATCCGTCTTCGAGGATTTCATTGGACAGCTTCTTCAACACTGCGGTAGGTGGCCTGAGCCGAAGTCTGTGTTGGTCATGGACAACGCATCCTTTCACCATTCCGGTCGAATAGAAACGATGTGTTCTGAAGCCGGCGTAAAGCTAGTGTATCTGCCTCCATACTCTCCCGACTTGAATCCTATTGAGGAGTTCTTTGCTGAACTAAAAGCCTTTATTCGGCGCAATTGGCAGTCCTACGAAAATGACCCGGATCAAGGTTTTGATCGCTTTCTTGAATGGTGTGTTGATATTGTCGGTGCGAGAGAGAAAAGTGCGGAAGGACATTTCCGTCACGCAGGTCTAGCATTAGAAGAAACCTGAATTGGACACCGAGTTTTACGGAGCCTATATTTCCTATTATAGACAACTTTGATACTCGAGAGATGATTCCGATAGCCGTGGGTCTTGATTGGATAAGCCTTTGAGGTTCCGATTTGCCAATCGCTCTCTCAGCTTTATAGCCGCATCTTACAATACAGATATATAGCACTACATATATCATACCTAGGTATGTCCTTGACATTGGGCACCGCAAAAATACTTGACGGCAAATAAAAAACAGAATAGCTGTATGTGGTGCGCCAATATCGGAATGCATCTAATGTCGAGTGATATGTATTGCAAATATCAGATAGATAGAGTGTATGAAATAGAAATTAACTTGATCAGAAATACCAAACGCCCAGAACAGTAGCTGAAACCCCAAATAAGATTGCAAAACCTATTGTTACCAGGCTAAAAGTGAGTTTCAATACAAGGGCCGCCTTGCTCAGTGGCAGAGAAATCACGGAATCATGTGATAGCTCTATCTCAGGTTTATTGGCGCTTTGCCCAGGATTTTCGTGAGCGATATTGCTTAAGAAAAGTGTCAATCGCTCTGAAAGTACCCCGGTGAATTGGGAGTCTTCTACAAGCACATTAGACACTTCGAAGACTTTGTGCTTTAGATTTGGATGCAATCGGCTATGGCAGGGGTACTTCTGTACACAGGAGGAACAGAGATCCATGCAGACGCACAGTGTGCATACAAAGCGAGTCCCGGTGATAATCCGGTTGCACATATTGCAGGAGATCTGACAGATATCCGTTTTGGAGGAAACACCCTGACGTAGATGAAGCTGGAACAGATAGCGCGCGTTGTTGAATTGGCCAAGAAACAAAAAATAGCGGCCTAATTGTTGTAGAATGAGCCATGAGGACTTGGATTTGGAATATGGAAATGCCTCGATGAGTTTAAGTACTGATCGATGAACAGTCACCTCTTGAGTATCAGGAGGCGTCAACACCAAATCAGAGCAGTGATTACAATGTATTTCCTGCAGTAGGGTTTCGTGATCGGATGCCAAGTCCATGATATGTCGACCATAACCATCTGGAAGTGACGGATCAGCACCAGAATTGAGAAGGGCAATAGCGAAACGAATGTGACCATGACAAACTGCCAGGTGGAGGGGAGTTTGTAGGAAGTCGCTATAGTTATTGAGGGCTGACGCTAGTTGTGGAAACAAACGGAAAATATGGAGCATGTTCTTTGAAGCGGCAATATGAAGAGGAGTGCGGCCAAGTTTATCTTTTAACAGAGAATCTGCTCCGGCACGAAGAAGGATTTGAACTTCATCAGCATAGCCCTCATGAATAGCCGCCAAGAGAGATGATCCATATTCACCACCTCGAGCGTTGACATCGGCGCCAGCTTCGAGCAGTATCTGCACTTTCTCAGGGCTTCCATCACATGCAGCGGCCTGTAGGGCGTTGCCATATTCACCACCCTGGGCGTTGACATCGGCGCCAGCTCCGAGCAGTATCTGCACCGTCTCACTGCTTTCCCTGTATGCAGCAGCCTGTAGGGCATTGCCATATTCACCACCCTGGGCGTTGACATCGGCGCCAGCTCCGAGCAGTATCTGCACCGTCTCACTGCTTTCCCTGTATGCAGCAGCCTGTAGGGCATTGCCATATTCACCACCCTGGGCGTTGACATCGGCGCCAGCTTCGAGCAGTATCTGCACTTTCTCAGGTCTTCCATCATGTGCAGCGGCCTGTAGGGCGTTGCCGTATTGACCACCCTGGACGTTGACATCGGCGCCAGCGTTGAGAAGCATTTGCACCGTCTCACTGCTCTCCCCGTATGCAGCAGCCTGTAGGGCGTTGCCGTATTGACCACCCTGGACGTTGACATCGGCGCCAGCGTTGAGAAGCATTTGCACCGTCTCACTGCTCTCCCCGTATGCAGCAGCCTGTAGGGCGTTGTCGTATTGACCACCCTGGACGTTGACATCGGCGCCAGCGTTGAGAAGCATTTGCACGATCTCACTGCTTTCCCTGTATGCAGCAGCCTGTAGGGCGTTGCCATATTCACCACCCTGGGCGTTGACATCGGCGCCAGCTTCGAGCAGTATCTGCACTGTCTCAGGGCTTCCTCTCCATGCAGCGGCCTGTAAGGCGTTGCCGTATTGACCATCCTGGGCGTTGACATCGGCGCCAGCTTGAAGCAATATCCCCACAAGGCCCTCATAGCCTCCAAGAGAAGCTGCTTGTAGCGCACCTCGACTCCCTCCTATTTCCACATTCACGCCCTCCTCAAGGAGCCATTTGACAAAGTATGTATATCCACCACTGGCTGCCTCATATAATGGTGTCTTGCCGTTGTGACTCTTGGCCTCTTGGTCGGCTCCCTTCCTCCGGAGTATTTTGCCGGCCGTGACATGACCCCCTCGGGCTGCCAAGTGTAACGCTGTATCTCCATCTGTGTTCCTTATAGCGACATCCTGAATATCCGACACCACAGGCTCGATGAGATCCTTTAGGTTGGCAGCGGCAGCCATATGTAACAGTGTTGTGCCTCTTGGTGGGCATAGTCCGTTATACTCATCTAGTTTCTGGTAACTCCCGACCCAAAAACTGAGCACTCGTTGTAGAATCTCTTTCTCATCCTGTAGAACATCGGAACGAATCTCAGCAGCTTTTTCCGCATGAATAAATAGGTTCGTAGTGGCATAATGAATCAACGAATATTCTTGGATAAGGCCCTCTTTAGTTCCTTTGAGCCCGCTGGTTCCTGCCAGTATATGAACTGTTGCAAGATACACTAAGCACGATCGGTAGAGAGTTGCCTGGCAATGAGAAAGAATCGTATTCTCGTTCATGGACGACATGCTCATGCCGATATTATGACACAAAGCTTGAAGCCCTTTTTTGCGCAAGAAATCATTAACTGACTGGTGTACTACCTGTACAGTCTCATTCTTATCCCCGCTTGGGACGACTTCGGCTAGTCCGCCGGAAAGAGCCTTGATTCTTGACAGCATTTTTTCGTTGCTTTTGATGAAACCGGAGATTCTTTCCCATTTCTTCGGAGACAGCGGTTCCCGCACATTCATAGCCACGAGAGCATATCGCATCTCGGTCACAGTTAGAGGTCGCTCAGCCAGACATACCCATTGAAAGAAGACAAATGACTGCTCGCGGTTTCTCTTCTCTATCACGTCGTTCAGAATATACGTGTAAACATCTTCCAGGTCAGCTGGGACCTCGCGTAACCAGCAACAGATGTCGTCAAACGATTCTCCTTCACGAACTTTCCGCTCGATGAGGGGAATCATAATATGAACCCATTGGAAAACTCCATTCGCTTGCTGGGTTAACTGCTCGACTAGCATTTCCCTCATCTTCTGGCTGGCGTTGTCTTTGGCCTCTGTCTTCACAAGTTTGTCTTGGACATATGTGGCAATGTCTTGCTGATTATGATCTTCCACCTTTATCTCTATAGCCTGTCCACTTTCCATGATAGGATAGTGTCGACATGAGATACAAACTTGGATGCATAGTTTCATTTTCTCGGCGTGATCGACGAGGCGATGAAAATATTCTGCCAGCTGCTGAGCAGATTTAGCCCCGGCCTCGTCAAGAGCATCCACAAAAACCATCACGTGCTGTTGGTTGGCTGATGCTAGAATGGCACTTGCTAGTAATTCTTCTAGCATCACCTGTGGCCATTCCCACTGACGTTTGCCATACCCAAACTGCTTACATCGCCGGTCGTATTTCTCACGTATCTGAGGACGTACAGTTGGATCGCGGTCGAAAAGCTGGTTCATCAATGATCTGAGCATTCCTAGTGGTGTACGTTGCATCTGTGCACCCCGAGCGGTGAAAAAAAAAGTCGAGGCGAATACCAGGGCGGTCGGCATCTGACATTTGGATTTCGTCGTGCAGAAATACCATCAAGGTCGACTTTCCTACACCTGGATTGCCCTTAATCCATAGCAGACCGTGGGACTGGCTCCTCCAGGACTGGTACTCTTCCAGCTCTAAAATCCATTTGCAGGTATTCGTATGGCATGGCTCGATATTATCCCTCCTGTCAAGCATCTGCGGAAATGCCAGTGACTCAAGCACCTCTGTCACACTTGTGAGTGGAAATCTGTTTGACTCATGGGGAGCGAGGCGAACCGTTGTCTATCTTCTGCTGTGGGGTCTCTAGTCGGTCTAGATCGGAAAGTAGCTTCTAGTTAATATTGCCTGGCTTGAACACGGCTTTAGGTCTCTTACTAGATGAGAAATAGTTTTGGGTTATCGAACCATGGTTGGTCCCCACCTGAGTCCCCGAGTTCTCATTACCAAACAATGTGGAAGCCATGCAAAATAGCTCGTGTGTGGCTGTCACAGACAGAGAGCAGACTCCAAAGTCGAAAGAGGGAAATTCAGCCCCACGATCAGGTGACTGTCAGGCGCTAAGCCTTGGCGGCTACTTCTCCCATCTGGTTGCCCATAGGCAGCTAGCAAATGTAGGGACATGCGGGGGTCCGCAATAGGAACCATCATGTCAAGGGAGAGAACTAGACTCAAATCCAACTAGCAGATTACAAAGCTATGGGGTCCCTCGAAATCATCTGCGTTACCTAACACTGGTCCACCGTTGGTAACAGACTCATTACACGACGAATTTGCCAAAGTTATAAAACAGTGAGTTTCAAAGGCAATTATATATATTGGAAGGCTGTGGTCAATATGAGAGGTAAAAGTAATTTCGAAAACTACTTTTGTAGTTTAGACTAAGTGAATGCTATTTTCGAGGCAAGTGATTTACCCGCGTCGCTTCACCCAAAGGCCGATATCACGCACGAACCGCCGAGCAGCACCTATTTTCACGCCATGCTTGACAAAGAAATCTGGATCTTGATCTTCATAGATTTGCAAAAGGTCGAGGCAGTTCTCGAGAGCCACATCACATGCTTTCTTGATATTATCTCTGAATGCCTCGTCACTTACACGTGACTGCTGCCATTTTGTATAATCGTCCACAGCGACATCTAGCAGGCCGTCGATTACGATTGATTCGGTGTAGCTGGGTCCGGTTGGCATGGTAGCATTGGCAGGAGGCTGTATCGATTGTTGAGATCCAACCGGAAGGACATTGATATTGATTGGAGGACACACTGAACCCAATGTGGAGTTCTCCGCAGCCTTCTTTTTCTTGTCCAGTCGCTGGTTCTCTTCGGCATAGAGCTGCTCGCGAACACTGTCAGGGATATCAGCGTGGGTCTCGAGAACCCCACCTTGCTTCACATATTTGACGAGGGCCTTCAGATGGTGTGTCTTCAATCTGTGGTGCGACAGTTGCGAGAGGACATAAATGATCATACGTGATGCACGAGTACTAACTTCCTTTATTGGTGAACTGCATGGCCATTACTGGAGGCATGTAATGAAGCCCAATTGAAGTGGTTCGCCATCTCGAGAAGATCCAAACAACTGATTTTCACGACTCTGGCCACCCTAAGTGCACTCAGGGGTTTACCGCTATCTTTGCCCTTTTGGACTGTCTCTTCTACTTTTTGAGGCCTCATCGGGACACATGGTCACGCCAGCGCTGTAGAACACGCTGTTTGGCCATGGATGTATCAAAAGAGCCGAATCATGAGTTTCTGATTGAACCATGACATTTTTGGGTTGATCCAGGCGAGCATCCAAAAAACGCAAAATGCGGTTGGTCCACACTTTTGGTCGACGACTATGGCATTCTGCACTCAAAACAGCAAACTGCTTTGAAGGGAAGGATAGCCTCTACACTGGTGGATACGCGAAAGGAGGGCCCTGGAACAGCTGAAAGCACGGTGCTTGGACAGTGATTTCCGTCATCTGCCACCCAGATGCACCGCTCACGGTGCGGCGGACGGCCCAAAACTTGGCCTAATACCCTTTGGAGGTGGGCAGGGCTCCAGGCCATGATGACAAGGTTTTCTGAAAACGCGTTCGGGATGATGTGATATTCGAGGTATAGTCTCGGCCGAAGAAATGTATTTTTGAGTGGTACCTGTAACCATGTAGGAAGGGTGCAATATACAGATGCTTGAGAAAGGACCTAGCCAGGCAATTCATCTTGCTGGCTCCCTATTATATACCTGAGCAATGAAAACTGGACTTAGTTGGCCACCAAAAATTCCCATCGCATTCCTGAAAAGAGGTTGTTGATTCCTGGGAGCTCCGGTCGAATTTGAAAGGATCTTACATGAAGCATAAGCAATCCGTTTATAAATGATATGCGGACCACCATGGAGCATCAAGAGCTTTCAGTTCCTTGGACCGAATGAGAGCCCAACACGCAAATCGAAGTTTCCATAGGAAACTGGCAATCTTGCCGACTATACTACCCACAGCAGTAGCCGGCCATTCCATTGACGTATGTTCGTCACAATAGTGCAGCAGTGATAATGAGACATGCCTTAGTAAGTGATCCTTTTATGTTTACAAGTGGTAGATGTTAATGCGTGCAGATATGCTATTCGCAGTTTGTTTCATGTCTTAGTTCGCGTATAAACTTAATCAACAAATACTGCTAATTTGGATTTAGGAATAAACATAATAGTTTTAGAAATGCCAAAATCAATTCTAGGAGCTGTTTAAACCCTGGGAACTCCTTTCTAGCTCCTGGGGCCAGTTTCTGTTCCTGGGAAACTGATTTCTAACCCGGGGGTCTTCATTCTGCGCGTTCCTGGATGAATACGAATTGAGTCTGGGAGTACAATAGCTAGATCTGGGATCCTACTTTTGGATCCTAGAGTCAATATTTTGTCTTCGAAGGTCGCGCAAAGCCCTCACAAGAGACCTTCATCAGACCCGTGAACAAACCTGCGTCTTTCGACTACTTCCCAGAAGGCCAAGCCATAGCACCAGGAACCGCACTTGAGGTTCCATGAGCCGATAATGCTGTTAACAGGAACATGACTTCGGTTCTTCAGGTGGAGCTACAAGACCCCCAAAGCTCCAATGGGCTTCCTGGGGGCTATGTGGCTCCCAGAAACAGTGTGAGGGTCTGACGTATACGTAGATGGGGACTGAATTTCGTAGATAAATAGTCTATATCAGGAAGAGCTATAGTCGATTTGGATACAAGACATAACACGAGGAAGCGAAAGAAAAGTAGCTTCCTCGCGTTCAGCAGAATACTCCGAGATCGGCGAAAGTGGGCAGGCTAGTCAGACCAAGAACGGAGCATGCTTAGATTGCAGCCGTAGAAAGGTCGATACTTGCGGTCTTCTCGCAGCCATCTTTGGTGTGCTACAAGGACGATTCCACAGATGGAAAGCAGGGCTGAGACTAGGGCCACAATCCCAGTGCCCACGACAACATTGTCCACGAGGCTTCGGAATGTGATGTCCAATATAGCGTCACTGGTAGGGGCAAGGTCAGATTGTGCGCAGTTTCGCAGAACGACCGCAAAGCGTAGAGGGGCGGAACTGGGACCGGCAAGGGTCAGCAGCCAGGTCGTGGCAAGGAAAAGAGGGCAAGACGCATTCGAATTGTGGCTGCGGAAGTATTCAGTCGCATTGTGTCCTCAAGAAAGGATTAATTCGAATACAGGAAGGCGAGGCAGATCTCTTTCAAGAAAACGCTCAGATAAAGTAAGAAACAGCAGAATCATGAATCAGGTCAATCTCTGGGAATCGTTAATCATAAGTGCCATATGCTCTTCACGCAAATGATGCTCAACAAAACAAAGCCCAGCTAAGGATCAGCTACATCAGCTGCCTTTTTAATAATTCGCTGCCATTGTGGCAATTCATATGGAGATCATCTAGATAATAGTTTTTCAAGATAAAGCGCTATTTCTATTCGTTGGGTCGGCGGCACCAAAATCGTGTCCGAGTTCTTGGGACCAAGCCAGCTCCTGGATTCGCCCTGTGGGCTCCCAGGGTCTGCTGCAATCTTTAAAAAATATGCATTTGGTATCTTGTAATTTTAATTCGCCGCTACAAAGTGCCATATAATTGCACCTCATATAAGGACATTTGATCCGGACGCGTAGTCCAGGGTGTAGAAATACATAAGTACATGTACACCGTCCTAATCTTTGTATATATTTTACCCGTGTCAACCTTCTCTGAGTGCTTTATCATCCCCCTAAACCAGAACTCGAATGCCCGTGCTCTCATTTGACAATGTCAATCGATTTTATTCAAACAACCGTTACATTCAGTAGGCCGTCAACCATGCTAACATTTATACGTGTGCCGAGCCGAGATCAGTCACTCAGCCGCAAGACACTCTAACTTTCAATGTGGGAGCCAAAATCGATTCTGCGACTGAAATAACTCTGTTTCAGGCTCTGATCAAAACCTGCAGATGCCTGGAATGGTTCAGTACACAGCGTCTCTTCCGAATTCTTGGAGTTGCGGACGGCCTGCGCAGCCTTCTTCGGGACATCCAAAACCTCGACCATGAACTATGGGTCTCTCTAGCAAATGGGGTTATAGCTTCTGTCTTTTACTATTGTGTCAATTTGGAAGATTGCAGTACACGCTTGTATCCAAATAGACCATTCAGGTGATTCGGACTGATATATGAGATGTCTTCTAACTACCGGATCGAACAAAGTGTGCTAGTATTCAGCTATTGATACCATCAGAATCAGGTACGACGTAGATGCTGAATAAGAGGCCTACACGCTAGTAAGAATCCACTTCTTTTGTACGACATATTGTACTGCTGCATCATGGAATGCTACGAGCTCAAGCCTACCCCGCTGGCAATCTCGTTTCAATGCAATCAACCTGGTCCGGCCGGTTGCAGGGATATTGTCAACGACTGTGACTACGAATATTACTATTTAGATTAGGATATATGCTAGGTTCCCGAGTTTATAGTGTGTTTTGATCTACTGAACCTATAAATAACCTCCCAAATCGCTTTGTGATTCAACAGGAGAACTGACTATCCCTTACTTGGAGTACGTCTAGAAGATGCTTTACGCTGATGCTTGTACTCCTAAAGGATGGATTATATCTGCACTATCTCTAAATTGGATAATGGATCCATTATTTTCAAGAGAATGGAACCAAGCTGCCCTACATACTAGTGCATTCATAGTTTCGGTATAAGGTATACTAGGAAGTGATGATTATAAGAAACATTTAACATCATCAAAAAAAGCCGCACTATGACGACTGGCGTTCCCTGAAATGGATGCTCCTGAGCATAATAGTCACATAGATTGCTTTTGCTCTCATTATTTCACCTTGACAAGAGGGAGTCGCTCGACTCTGTTCGCGGAAATATCCGTGTATAGAGGGAATCGCTGGATTCGGTGCGAGGGAAGTGGTGTTGGTGCTTCCGAGAGACGATGCGATCCTGGTAAATGCCCGTTGCCGTGCCCCGGATAACTGACTCAAGGTACTCTCGGAAATCTGTGTGTTTGAAGTCCGGATATAACTCCTGCGTGGAATGGTAGCCGAGATACTTGGCATATTCGGGGTTATTGTCTCCTCGAATGAAGCACGACAGTTGAAATTCGGCCAGATACCGTGGCACAAATTTTCGCGTATCGAAAGGATAGGTTTCGCTAGCTTGTCGCGTCTTCACCGTTTTGCTGCAGATCGTCTCCTCGGGAATCTGCGGTCGGCAAAAGACAAATTTGTAAGTCGTGTTCGCTTATTTGAGCCGAAGGAGCTCTGCAACATACATAGTTCCGGACAATGCTTTCTTCGCTGAGTTCCTCCATAAGCTCGTGGATTTTGTTTTGTGTGGAGACAACGTTGTAAGCGAATATCTTCCTATTTAGTGTGCGAGGGTCGGAAATTATCCTAGCCATATAGCGGCCGACGTCTCGCAAGTCTATGAGCGCTGTGGGCATGTTGCCATCACCCACAATCTCGTCATTGCCAGATGTCATGGCATAGTCGACGCAGCCGGACTCAAGGCGAGGGTAAGCCAGCTGGTACCACCAGCCGATATCGACAATAGTGTAAGGGAGCCAGAGCTGGCGGATCTGGTTGTAGACGATTTCTTTCTATGCGAAGCGAGCACGGTCACCTTACTGGCCAGTGCCCCACGGCACCACATTCCACTTACCTCGTCACGCAACCACATAATACCACCTGGGGGACAAACGGTGATGAATCCACAAGGAATGAATCGTTTTACGCGAGTTTTCTTGGCGGCCCTGGCGAGGTGAATCTGGTCCTGTTGCTCGGTGGGCCCGACACAACTAACAACCACATCAATATCTGTCAAAGCTTCGATGAGATGTTCCTCTGTATCTTTCAAGTCACATCTTCTAATTTGAAGCCCCTTATCTTCGAGGCGCGTGGTAGAAGGTTTCCGAATCGAGGTGGGGCGGATGAGAGCGATAACCTCCTGAATCACAGAATTGTGATACCGTTAGTATGGGCTCAATCGACTATATCGAAGCTGGCTACCTACAAAGTTGCCATCGTCCAACAGCCCGTGGGCTATGGATCCCCCGGTTTCACCTGCTGCTCCGACCAGCAAAACATTGGTCTTCGACATCTCGGCAATTCTTATCGGTCTTACAGTATAGAAGACGTGAGCTGCGGCAGAGGGATGTAGTGATCAACGAAGGGTTAGAAACGAGAATGAAATGAAGGAGAAGCGTTATGGATTTCCATCCTACGCAATGATGACTTTGCTATACACTTCCTCATTTATGGTAGGCGAAAGGTGGGGGGACATTCGTTCTTTGCGTCAAAATGAGATCATGGCTGGTGGGATTAGTCATGCTACTTTCGCGTAATGTAGTTAACTATTATATCGCTTCCGAGAGATGCGGTGTGCACTATACTAGAATTAACCAATGAGGCCATTGCCCAATATTTGAGATGAGTCTTTCTATATAGAGCTGATGGTAAAGATAAAGGAGCTTCCATATGCTGATTCAGCGGTTGATGCCTTGGGAATCAGGGTGCAGTGGGTGTTGAATGAAACAAATTGCGCTAGTAAGATCCCTCTCCACCTTTACCGACATATTACCCTCCATTACTAAGCAGGCCTTGTAGGAGGTGGGTGTCCCAAAATCCCAATCAATAGCAGTACTTCGAACAAATTGCGCCATTGCAAAGAAAGAGATTGGCAGCACTGGAAAAGTAGTCGACAGATAATGGGAAATGAGACGATGCTAGAACCCGAACTAGATCATCTAGCCGAAATCAGGAGGTCCAAGTGAAAGATAACCCTTGATGCGTAAGCAGGTTAGGAAGAAGGAGTAATTTTTGATTCATCGAACTTCGAATAGGACTCCAGCTGGCTTATGGCGGCCCGCATACCTGACTTCTGCCCAATTCAGGAGAAGACATAGGTCCTAAATGCCATTCTCCGTTAGGTTGTCCTGAATTACGGCCTGTTATACCATACGTTACCAAAAGCGCAATTCGGCGTTTCAGGGGCTGCCGGCAAACTATCCCTGCCATAAGAACAAGCACTTTCACAGTATAGCCCTTTGGCATAGCGTAATCCTTTCGTAGGTTGTCATATGGCGAAAATAGTAGTGCTGAAAAATGGTCGGTCCCCATCCGCGCCGTTATTTCTCTCTTGGATTCCACACGTCCTATTCTCCTTTTCTCTATTATATGGTTTCTTATTTCAGGGACCTTCCTACCCTCCACTAATTGGAAACTTTCGTGTGCCAACATCGCTTTTCCCTTGTATCTTTTCTGTTATTAGGTATATTCTAGGTTCATATACTGATCACCCAATATCACACTGGCGTAACCAGTATCTGCCTCCATCCCAGATCCTATTTCAACCCCTTTTCCTACGACCTTTTCGCAGACGCTAAATCTGCCATATTTATTGGCCGCTGACTTCTGGGTTCTCTATCGTAAGTTCCTATTATCAATGCCTTCGCTTCGCTACTGTCCTCTCAGTTGTCTTGTAAACAAACCGTGGCATTCAAATCGGTATCTATCTCACTTACCGCTTGGGAGGCCTATTGCCAAAGCTCTCCGGCAACCGCAGCCATGGCACCTGACAACGAGAGCAATTTAGATTGCTTGTGGGAACATTGTTGCAAGGTGAACGCTATAATATAAAGCTTTTTCACGTGCCACTTCCCAGCAGAGCGATATATCGTACATGTTGAACGATTCGGTCTTGCTAAGGAATCTTAATTATGTTCTCGGATCTGAAGGAAGAATCCAAAGCCTTTAGACCACTTTTTATCCAGATATGTAGGTCCACAAAATCCTGATCTGTTGCCATGGATCTGTGGAAGACCCTGACTGTTTCGTTGTTTATAAAGCCGTTCTCCACTACATTGAGAATCCCTTACCCTTCTTGCTGTGTCTATCTGTGTGATACGGCTTGGGCTGTTGGACCAGATGTTGAGCACTGTCCTTTATAAACCGCGGATTGTGCCGCAGCTTTCCCAACGTGAAAGGTCTGGGTTGCAAATATGTCAGTGGCAATACATAAAGCCTACAACCGCTACAAGAGCAAGAGGCATACTTCTACAGTTCAAGCACGCAGAGACGGGTATTCCGTTCTAGTTAAGGGCATTGATTCTGTCGCCTGTTATCTTTTGGAGTCATGGACGGACCACGACCTTTGTGAGCGTATAAGAACGTTCTCTCTGAGTCACGATAGTGTCAAGAGCTTGCATACAACCACCAGAGGATATTTATTTCTATACTATTTTAGTTTCGGAGCTTTATGTCTCTTTATCTCTCTTGTATCCACATCTCAGTGAAATATTTGGTGTCTATTGTGGGCGCGATATCGAAAGGTCGAGGTAACTATCGACTATCCCTACAAACAAGTTGTTGATAAGCCCCGTTGCCGTATGCGAAAGGAAGTCGATGCTGATCGTATTCGTCAAATGGACATACAATAGGAATACAGTGAATTTTTTCGTCTCTGTTGTTCAATAACTGTTTCACGATCGGGAAACAAACCACTCTTGTACTATCACACATCAGGATAAGGCCTTTCATTTGGAGGCACTAAGTCAGTTTCTGGAAATAATGAGAAAGATGAGAGATTTGTTTCTTGATTGATTTGAGTCTTCCCGATAGCATCAAATAGGGTGGGATTCACATAAGTGCACAATAGGGTATGTAACAGACGCCATTCTCAATACAAGAGCCACGGGCCAGCTTGCAATAGAACCTTTTCCCACCCATGCTCGTTTATCCACACGGCGATGCTTTCAACGTCGTCCCGACCAAGATTAAGCCCATTATACAGATGCTACTCTATATGTCAGCTTGTACGTTGCCTGAAAGCAATGAGGACAAAGAATGCATCAAAAAGGTTGCAAATGTTGATAGGTTCTTACTGGACACAATTCTTCTTCCGACAGAGCCTCGCTCAACGCACCGTCTGCTATCTCCCAGCAAATGTCTTGTAAAACCTTGTGGTACGGGATTCGCAAGACATATACCAATGGCTCACTTTTATATATACGTTTAAGGGCTTCTGGAACTTGCAGCGCCGTCAAGAGGTGTATGAACCCTGAAGATTGATCGGTAAGGCTGACTGGAAGGCGGTCGGGAAGTGGTTCTCGGACAGGACAAGCAGACGGTAGAATTTTGTAAACGTATAGGGGCATAGAATCTTGCATTGTTTCGCATTGAAACACCAATCCAGAGTATGAGTTGACATTGGAGCGTTGGTTGTGTAACTGAATCTAAATGACGTCTGACATTCCATGACGTAATTGCTCGGCACAATGCTTTTTTTCATGGATCCCGCTGTTTGTCAGGAATACAGATGTGCTGGCCAATTAGCGAAAAACATGGGAAGTCTGTCTTGTCATTATGTAGCTATGTCAACAAAAGAGGGTCGCCATTTTACTAGTGCGCCCGAGGAATATTCAGCACCCCCTCTGCCTGATGATCCTAAGGCTCTCAACGACCTTACTAAGCTCATCCCCTATTTATTCTGCACTTTCTATACTATATAGAATCAGCTGAACTCGCTGTCGGCATTTACTTTGGCCGCCGCCGTTAGGTATGCACGCTTTTATCTACCGGCACTGGTTTTCGAGCTAAACATATCTGAAATGAAAGCAACTTTCGATTATCATTTTAAATTGTATTGAAATCTAACACTTGCAAATATGAAACGGTCGCGTAGTGCTCTGTGGAGCTAACGATCAGATTTGTATTCATTTGGTTGCTAGGCTTGGTCCGAAAGCCGAGTAACTGGTCACGTGTGATCACGTGCGAATGACAGCCGCTTCGCTAATTTCTCATTTCCGTGGTGCGTTTGCTGGAAGTTGTAATTGTTGTGATATGAGGCTGACAGATCAGGAACCAAGCCGCACCATCGGAATTAATCCCGAGGTGTCTATACAAAGAATGCAAGTTCCAATCAACTTGATTTCCTCGATGTATATATAGTATCATGTTTCTCTCAATACAGAGTCATTTCATACCTCTGAACTACAACACTTACTTGCCAGCGATGCCAGGTAGCCGCCGTTCGAGGCACTTATAGTGGTCCAATGCGAGCGAATTTGTCAAGTGCTTGGCGCCGATATCATGAAATCTGTCGCACGCCTCGGACAGGGGAGAGTAGGCAATTTGACAATCTGACGGCCCAAGTGCAAACTTACGCAGCCCTCCTATGAGGTACCTACCCCAGCCCCGACGCTCAGTCCGCCGCGCAGGTCGAAAAAACCGTCGTCGGTGAACCGGAGACAATGGTCTATTATTGGGATTGTCCCACCACTCAAGAAAATCCGGGTGGTCGCCGCAATAGCCGATCTTATGCGCCTAAGGGAAGATATTGTCACAGATGCAAGGCCGCGAAACAAGCATAGATGTTTACGTCCGGCTACTCGTGAGTCCCTAATTCATGTTTAGGTATATCCATATCCAGTATTCAGACAGCAAAGGCTCGACCAGACTGTTTACATGCAGATTATCTGATTTCTTTTTGGCATTAAAACGACGAGCTCAGAAAACTAGCTTTACTTTCACCGGACAGAGTTTGGAGCCAGAAGAAGCCACTTCCGTTTGCGAAATATCAAATATATCCGCAGTCATAATTTGCGCCTCGGGAAGATGTTGGATCACATTGTCATCAACCATAACCTTGAAGCCTCTGCTGTGTTCCCAGAATATATGAGTGATAAGACTTGGGTCAATCTGCACTTTTTTCGCAAGCTTTTCTTTAAGCTCGAGAGAGGTGCGATTTATCAAGTATATTGCATGATGGTGGCTTGAGAGTGCCTTCCCATTTTGTTTGAATTGTACATAAAAGCATGCAACTGTGAGAGGGTAAGTGTACGAAAAATACATTATTACATTGCGGTACGAACCAGCTTTGGACGACTGTAATGGGTGAAGTGGTGAATCCTGCAAGGCCCCAATAGAAGCTGTTGGGATTTCAGGCGAACGTTGCGGATTAACAAGGCTTTGAAGATGATCAGGTTGCACGTAAGTCTCTTTGGGCAATCTACCTTCATTTCCCGAGGCTGAAGGCATGGATGTGCTCTCCGTTTGTTGATTGTCCATGTGTCCAGTTTTCACCATTGTGTTTGTTCCGCGTGGTAAGTTAACAGGATACGATTCCGGATCGTCTCGCTCGTTACCACGAAATCTAAGAACACTCACTTCATGGGCTGATTGAAATAATGCATATGTTTGGGCCAACTCCGCATGAAGATCCTCATCAGTCGTGTAGTCTTTCCGCGATTTTATAGCCCCTTTGGGCTTCTGAGGCCGATGACCGATTTGACCGCCGTTCATTGAACCGCATCCGTGATTTGGTCCGATCAAGTCCACGCCCAGCTCTCTGTCGGTGATCTCCTTGTTGAGCTTTTCGATCTTTTTCTTGACATGTGCCACGTCGTTCGATGATTTCCGTTCGGCACCATGGTCTCGAAAGAGCTTTATGACACAATAGCACATTTCTGAGTCGTGCTCCATCATCCATTCCTCGCCGTCCGACCGTAGGATTTCCGTCTTTGCACACAACCTGACTGGCACCCCTTTCACACCTTTCGAGCGGCTGAAATCGGTCGATAAGAAATTGAACCTTAGGGAAATGGCATACTTGCAGACTTTCGTAGTCGGATCAGCTATCCAGGTGACACAGAACCCATCAACAGTGGCCCTTTCAAGTCGAATCTGGCGATGCTCCGGACACTTGGCACTGTCTTGGAAAGGCTCGACATATTCGACGGCTAAAAGCTCGCTTTGACGCTTGTAAGCTTCGTTAAGGCCTCTACCATCTTTCCATAGCTCCCATGATCTAACAGGGTCTGACCTCTGATCCTGTTCTTCGAATGTTACCCGCACAAATGTTCTAAATTTAAGCGGCCCATCAATCTTCAAGGGTGGCTTAGGGTCTACCACTTCGAGGCTGTAGATTTGACCCTTGTTGAGATATGTCACTGGGCGTTCATTGGTATGCCGAACGATTGATGTTGGGGCTAGCAAGGTCACATTGTAACGAAATCTATGAGATCAGTGAACAGAATAGTTTGATGTGTGATCTGCAAACGTACGTTTCTTCTTCGGCGAATGGCGAACCATGAGTGATGTCTGCCTCGAATGCGGCCATTGAATCCGTTTTTTCGCTCATATCACCGGTCGAGATACCATGATTGACCCCGAGTCCATTCGCCGCTGAGTAGGCAGAATTATGGAGCGTGAAAATCCCCGACATATAGTCCGGCTGTCCGTAGTGTGTGTTATCACAAACCCAATGTTGAGTCTGAGCCAGCGGAGCGAAGCAGTCGGGCCCAACCCAAGAAATCGGCGAAGTACATTGGTTTGATGCGTCAAGAAAAGGCGCGGCTGTTTCACCCCACTCTATCATAGGAGAGTGGAGGTCACCTGCTTTGTTGTAGTAGACCGCGCCCGATCCTGTCATGTTGCGACTGTGAGACGTCTTATGCTTTTTAGGATGAACCACCGGAGATAACGAATCGGGGGCATTGGATTTGCGGGAGACTGAGGAACCGCTCACTAGCCCCGATGCTTGTTCATATTTCGTGTTGTCTACCTGCATAGCACCCACGAAATCAACATCGTTGGCATATCTAACAGGTAACGTTGGATCCTCCGGGTGAACAAAAGGGCCTCCCTTTCCTCTCTCACCATCGCAGGTCAAAAGAAGGTCTCCAAATTTCTTCCTGAACTGAACAATGAACTCGTCACCTGGTTTGCGCATGATTTTGAAACATAGGAGCTGAGTATTTTGATCAGTGCTTGGGGGAGGTGCCAATTTGGCTTTTTTTTCCAAGACTTGAGGGTATGAAGGGATTGCCCGCGTTGTTCCCAAAAGAATTCTTGGCAATTTCTAATTGCCGGATCGGTTCCCGCCAATGGTAGCGACCATCTGAAGGGGACAGCAAGGTCATGTGACATACGCCCCACTGCTGTTGGCTCAGCCACCTGGCGTAGTCATGTAAAGAAACACCACGAGCACTGTGGAGGCCTAGGGCGACGTTGCAACCCCTCATACATAAGGACATGTGGTCATACTACCGTACTGTATTGAGAGAAACATAATCTCGATGCGAGGTGATAGGTTGAACTGAGTGACCAGCCTCGAATTTATATTACGGCAAGATTAAACAAGAGCAGAATGTAATATTGCTACCAATGCCAAGAAGTGGCCGGGGGTTATTGTCCTCGGTTGGCATCTCGCGTCTTTTGATGCCTGGCAGCTCGACAGGCACCGGGATGAACTCATAATCTAGTCTGGCGCATGGCGGACGGATCCCACTTTCGCCAACGAGCAGGCTGTGAGCCTAAGTCTGCGTGCAAGGAGAAGGTCAGGGAAATGTCCCGTCTTTTCGAGCCTATAGATTAACAATGACCATATCAGGTACGCTCCTAGAAAGGGGACGGTCTGCTCCCGGGTCGTAGCTGAGCCAACTAAAGAGCCACGAGCTAAAAATCACCAACCTATACTGTTTTACCTGATCGTACTCCGCCCTGCTGGGCTGTTGGACGTATTCAAGCGGGTGGAACCCACCAAACGGAAACGAACGAGCGAAAAGGAACAAATTGGACATAAACGACACTACGTGAAGGGCACTGTCAGAAATGCCGTGGTGTCTTTAAACAGATTTTGGCAGATTTGATGGGTGTGCAAAGGCCATTTACTCTGGGTGTCACTGCAGCTGAAGCGTAGTCAAGCTGAGCGTAAGCGTAACATCTTCTCTGGCATCGTGCTCTAACATATCGCGCGAAAGCATCTCTTACCAGGAAATGCCCGGATTCTCTACTTTTCTTACGCCGACTGTCCTTGAGCATCAGATATATATTTGTTAGACTCACCACGCCATGGACGTTCTTTGGAATATCACTGTTCAAGCAGGGCTTTTGTGAAGGTGGCATTGATGTCCGTAACACCGCTACCAAGAGCCATCCTGCTGTGCGACCTCTGACAATTTATCCTGTGTATGTTCTACCCCTAATCAGCGCTCATGTCATGTTCGCCTTTGGAGGAATGGTTTAGGCGTGTAACTGCTGCAATCAGAGGTCAGGTCAACTCAAGTGCCACTTGCGCGGATATCATCTCACGACAGTCCTCGTACATGGTGGCGGAGATTGCTTTACCAGATGTGGTCAGGATGGCGCTTGCTAGACCCCATTCGGGCTTCAACCGTGTTTTTTCTGCAGAAGAGCATGCTTGATCGCATGAACCGGTGGCCACACCTGACTTTATTGATGCTAAACCTCCCCGCCAATGATATGGGTTGGGCGGTGGGCGGGTTTTGGCGAGGCCTAATCCGCACCATGTTACGTATGACGTCATCATAATCAGGTAAGAACCTTGGAAGCGGCGCTGCTTGATAACAAATGAAATTCTTGTTTCAATAAGATGACATAGAAATTACAAAAATGCTTTTTAACACAGACAGGTCACTTGTCATTACAATAAAGATAAATGGAACACTCATCAGTTAGACAAGATCTACGATAATTATTAACATTAGTTGCGCGCAGACTTCAAGGAACCCCTAGCCGTCTACTATAAAAATGGCACCCATAACACGCGCCTCAGTCCAAAATATTTCTCTGGCCTATGCATCCTGTTCAATCGGCTGCAACTCGAGTGATGCCCTCCCCCGCAAACTGGAGGCATTGAGCGAAGCTGGGTTCACCGCAATCGAGCTTTCATTTCCCGACATTTTGAAACATGGAGCACATCTTCAAGGCCATCCCATCTCATCAGATAATTATTCCGAACTTGTCAAAGTCGCCCACAAAATCCGGGAACTCTGCGAGTCAAATTCGTTGACTATCATGATGCTGCAACCGTTGGCGAATTTTGAGGGTTGGCCGAAAGGGTCGTCTGAAAGAGAGGAAGCTTTTGCGAGAGCAAGTGGCTGGATAGAGATTATGAAGGCTCTTGGAACAGACTTGCTGCAGGTTAGAAACAGCCCGTTGTGATATACATCTTAATAAACTAATCACTTGCTCAGGTTGGATCTACGGATACACCGTCCGATAAGATATCTATCACTCGTGAAGCCATTGTATTTGATCTCCGTGAACTAGCGGATATGCTGGCAAAGTACAATTTCCGCGTGGCCTATGAAAATTGGTGCTGGTCAACCCATGCACCGGGCTGGAAAGAAGCATGGGAGATTGTCTCAGCCGTCGACCGCCCGAATGTCGGGTTGTGTCTAGACACATTCCAGACTGCTGGTAGTGAATGGGCAGATCCGACAACTAAATCTGGTCTTATTGAAGAAGTGCCATATGAGATTTTGCAAAAGAACTTCGCCGCCAGTATGGATGAGCTCGCTCGTATCGTACCATCTGAAGCAATCTATTTACTACAGATTTCGGATGCCTACAAGGTTTCTCCACCGCTGACGAACGAAGCTGTCGAAGGACTTAGGCCCCGTGGTCGCTGGAGTCATGGTTATAGACCTATGCCTTATGGTGGCGGCTACTTGCCGATCGAAGATGTGGCGAAGGCAGTGTTGGAGACTGGATTTCGTGGATGGTTCTCCATGGAGATTTTTGATGGCGGGCCAGAAGGCAAGGGGTTAAAGTATGACTTGGATTCTTATGCAAAGAAGGCGATGCAGAGCATGCAGGAATTGTTAATTGACTGCGCGGATAGATGATGGCAATGTCTTGAACTATTTTTGTCGTGAAATGAAAACTTATTCAGTATATAGCATAATTACCACCAACCTTTGGCGGAATTGCAAGGCTGATTTGATGCGTTTTGCGTTTGTGATAAGAAATTGACATGATATGGTTCCAAGGTTGCTGATATAGTGAAGTCGATCCCTTAGGGTCGTCACATGGACACCATATCTATATCCGACCAGATGTATATCCTAAGGAAATCTGTTGAAAATATGATATATACCTATGTGAAGCATACGCCCTAAGAAGAGATTATTAAAGTCTGTCTATCTATACTACGTAGTTCATCTAATATTTGTAGACATAGTGTGTGCTCACTCATAAGCGAGATGAATTGTGGTCCCCTTTATGAAGTCTTTTATGGAAAGCGAGCTTCATGGTGGTTCAGTGCTGATAACGTAATACCCAAGCGAGCTGGCCACCAAAACCAATCTATTTACCTTGAAATCTTAAATGCATTATCTCAACCAAAACGCCAATAAATTAATATAACTATCTATCTAGGTCTATCTGGACATGCACTTCTTTTATGCCCTAGATTTCCACATGCTCCGCATCTATTTAATGCTCTCGTTCTCGGCTGTAAAGGTGGCGAAGGCCTTCTTGGCTGAGGTGGGGGAGGGGGTTCAATTGCTTCCTCTGGCTGTACAATTCATACAGAGGCTTCTAAAACTGAGAGGCCCTCGGTAGAAGGTATTTGCCTTCGAGATCCATTGCGCTTTTGGTTCTTCTCCTCATTTTAGCCCGTAAATCGCTTGCTTCTTTCTCGAGAAAAGCAGCTGATTGCATAGTGATCTGGCAGGCCTTTAAAACCTGATTAATCGCCGAATTAAGCGGGCTCGGAGGCGGTTTAGACCTCGCACGAAGTAATGCTTTGATTGACGAAGCCTGCTTTTGTAATTGGATATAGTTCGAAGGCGTTTTTGGGTCCCAATCGCTATCCCGGCTTGGGGGAGGTGTCGGGGTTCGAAGATGGATATCGAGCTTCGAAATCACTTGATCGGGAGAAAAAGGCACTAAACCAGCGGCTACAAAGCTATTCTTTCTAGTCTCTGGTTTGAAAGCCTCGATTCGGGCGGGGGTGTAAGCTTCAAGGAAATCAAGTTTGTCGATGTGATTGATCCCGTTCCGCATCTTCGTTTCAACAAGCCGACCGTATGAGCGCTTTAACACCGCAAAACAACCGATATCGAGGGGCTGTAAAAGGTGCGAGGAATGTGAGGGCATACAAATTGGTATAATATCATTTTTTTTCCCCACAGATTTCGTCGAATTTCGGGGTTAAACGACTTCCGTGACCGTCGAGTATCAAAAGTCGATACCGACCCTTTAACTGCGAAGAAGTCGACGGAATAAAGAGCTTTTCGAGCCAACGAAGGCTGATTTCATCAGAAGTCCAGCCGTTCGGGCTTACTTCAAATTGCCACTCACCCGGGAGGTTATCGAACCAAGATTCGATAAAAACCTTGCCTTTGAAAATCACACACGGAGGGAGTGCCCACCCTAGAACATTCGTACATTCAATAGCGGTCACCCACTCACGATTTCCAGGTTGTAAAAGTGATCGCCGACCGTAGTATGCAGCCCTTGTGATTAATTTTGCTGTCGCTGTCAATCCCATCGCCAAACCAGTCTCGCCAAAGTTGTAACTCGTCCGGATCGATCCCGTTCTCGAGGATGGTTTTTTGAACAGGTGTAAACCATTCCCAGATAACTTTTGGGTCTTCGCATTTAGCCCGCTCGTAATTATAGAGACTTGAGGATTGTGATGATAGGTCAGGACGCCTTTTCACAAAGTTGGTAACCCAAGTCTCGTCGACCGAAAGAACCGGGGTGGTTTCGCGTTGTTGAAGAAGATTCGCCATGTCGCGAACTAACGAAGGCCTTGGGGCAGACCCACGAGAGTCCATAGAGAGTATCCATTTCTGAAGCGAGTGCTCTTCAATTTCCGTCAATTTATGTGAATTTGCGCGTGCGGTAGTTCGTTCTGTACGGCCGGATAGCCTGTCGCGTAAAGTTGAGCGCGGTATATCAAAACGGCGTGCTACTTCACGAATTGATACGATTTCTTTAGTCTTACTGAATTGCTAATAAGGTTCTACCCTCTTGCTTTGCTGAGTTTCTAGAGCCTTAGGCGCGGGTTGGTGGCATGGTGGGTAGTTGAATTAATTAGGTGTAAATTCATAGACGCGTTTTCGGTGAGGCGGACGGCTCGCTTGTGAATTACGTTAGTCCCATGAATCTCAACAAAATTCTGCTTTCAACATAGCGCCACAGAGAACCAAATAAAATCAGAACGTGGCATACGTTCGATATAAAACCAATCCCGTCTTTGTCGAAAGGTCCAACGCAGCGTCCTTTGCAGCAAAATAAACATTGCCCTCTTCAATATCATGGATTGCTCCATCTCCCACATTCATCTTTCCTGACCCTTGGGTCACGACTAAGATACTAGGAGTTCCGAGTACCTTGTGCTTTTCCACTTCCGCTGGAGACAAGGTCACACCCAGAACATTGAACTCGCTAAAAGGAGGGGCATATTCCACGGTTCTTCCTTTTACACCAATGAAACTCTTTTTCTGTCCCAAGAGAGATTCCTTCGGGCCATTTGGTCTGAATGTGAGAGCTTGCGAGAACAATTCAACATCATCACGGTCAACGCGTGGGCAGAAGCCTGTGTTGAGGACGTTGTCGGAGCGTGCCATGCACTCCATAATATCCCCCGAGAACCACGCGTGAATGCCATCAGCTGGAACACAGACAGCTTCTCCAGGCTCCAGGACCATGTAGTTCATCAGAAGAGCGGCGATCAAGTTTCCGTTGTCGAATTTTGAATATTGCTTGCTTAGTCGATCGAGAAGTGATGGAACGTTCTCGTTGTCTCCAAATTCAGACAAAGAAGTTTCTTGCAATTTTGTGAGAGTCTCTGATACGCCCCCGGGCCCAATTTTAGCAAAGTTTCGCACAGTTGTCGTAGAGTTCCTTCATCAAAGCTCTTGTGCTCTGGCACAAACTGCTCCAAAGGCTTCAACCGCATGAGCTCTGCAATCTCGCTTAAGGGCTTGAACCCGACGAAAAGTTCGAACCGTGACAGAGCGATAGCAATTTCTGGTTTATGGTTGGCATCCCCGAACCTTTCGGGGTCTTTCTCATGCAAACGTTCAGCAAGGCTTTTGTCCGGATGAATTTGGAGTGGAAGCGCTTTAGCAAAAGAGAGTATCTATCATAGTTAGAATTAGGGTCATCTTGACTATAGGTTCCATTTGCGTTTACCTTCGGAAGAAAAGGAATATCGGGCCCGTATCGATCGCAAATGGAAGAACCAACGAGATCAGGATTCTCTTTGAGATGTTCAGACAGGAGCTTTCCAGTGGAGTGAACTCGAGATGGCACAGAGGGATATGTACCCATCCACATCTGCGAGGGGTATCAGCGCTGTTGCTCGTAACAGATGGAATATTGATTGCTCACTTCGGAGTATGTTTCTGAGGCGTCTAGTTTTTCTGTGTCAGGCATATGAGACCAAAGACGCCCAGCAAGTGAGCTTTCGCCTTGTTTACCCCAAGGATCATGCTGAACCCGGATGTTAGCCTCTCCAGGAGCACTAATGTTGAAGTACCCTAAGTATCCTACCTTGCATTCGCAAACGAGTTGCAATACTCCGTCGGCCATTTTCGAAAAGGTTTGTAATAAATTTGCTGGGAATATGTGCAAATGGGATAGATACATTGCAAAATATCCCGAGGCTTTTCAGACAGTCTAGACTGCCAGCAAAAACATGCAATCCATTACGTGGATCATCTGTCATCCACATTGTTCTATGAATTTCCTGATCTTAGATCCTTCCAAGATTTAAGTTGTATTACTGTCAGGCTACACCCCGGAATGGTTGACTGCGCTAGTCACGGGTGGGTTCCAAGTTTTGTGCCGATTCGGTCGTTATCAGTCAGAATGATGATCCCATCCGTCATCCTGACGCCAGAACTCGGCTTTTCTTTCTTCCTTGTACATACAATACGACAACAATCTGTGCAAGCAATGAAAACACAAGAAATGCCATTTACAGAAACCCCTAGCGTCACGCACGTAGGCGACCCATGGGTAGCACCACTCCCGTGGATCACTCAAGCTCACATATAGCAGGCGATGTTTATGACACAATGAATATGAATACGAAGTACAATACATACATAATCAAACAGCGCCAAGGTATGGTTGAGATTGCCAAGATAAACTTGCTGAGTCCCCCGATAATTGGCGCCATCATCACATTTGTTCCTTCGCTGGTCGCCATTCGTAGTGATGGGCCCCTTTTCCAACAGGGCCAGGATCCTCTCCTGGGACACCAGGTTTATTGTATCCGTGCGCGCCGAAGAAGTCCATCTGCCCTTCCATAAATTTGGTAGGGAGCGACGTTCCGCCTGCATATTTCAAATACTCGAGAGAAGCTGAGGTCGCGGGGATATATTGATCAGACAAGGTGCCCTGTACCACGACTTCTTTCAAAGAGCTGAAAGTGCGGTGCAGCTCCTTAGCGACTTCCTCTGAATGCTTTAGGTTTGTCCAGTGATGATCCGTTGAAACAACAGGCTCCAATAGATCGACTATACCATCGGCTTGAATAATGCAGCCTCCACGCCAAACTCTAAGACATCGATGCAGGTTGATTCCCCAGCCCTCGTCATCAGAGGCTCGTGTAATCATTTCTAGGCCCTGGCAGAACGAGGCTAGAAAACAGCAATAAACCGCACAGCGCAAATGCTCGATAATATTACCTTTGTCTCTGATTCCCTGGAGTGGTTTCGGCACTGGGAGTTGAAGCCTCTTGGCTGCTAGCAGTCGTTCTGCTCGGTTTCCGCTCGCAATACGCAGGTAGTGTCCTGTGGCAAGTGTAGGTGCCGATATATGCCGAGACGCTGACTCCATGATGTTCCAATACGGTGTACCCTCCGTATAATCGTCATCTTGGACGACTTTGTCAAGTACTTCGTCGAGTACATAATGCTCGTCGCTGCCTTTTCCCCCACCTGTTCCGGAAGAAGACCCTTTGGTGCGTAGCATGTCAACCGCGATATCAAGCAGATAGGTACCACGCAACTCGCCCTCGTTGTTCCACTTTTCGAAGATGTCTGCAATTGCCTCGTAGTCGAGTTCCAAGCCGGAGTGAAGGAACGACCACGCCTCAGCCAAGGTCGATAACATGCCTCCCTCTATACCATTGTGAACCATCTTCACATAATGGCCTGAGCCACCAGGACCGATTTGAGTGACGCATGGGTTGCCACTGGGATCTTTGGCGGCGTAAAGCTCGAGTAATGGCATCACAGTCTCCAATGCTTTCGCATCGCCGCCGGGAGACAGACTTGGACCGCGACGAGCTGCCTGGTAGCCGCCTGAAACACCCATGCCGATCCAGTGCACGCCAATCTCTTGGCATTCCTCTTGTCTTTTCTGCGTGCGTCGGTAATCCTCATTGCCTCCATCAAGGACGATATCTCCATCTTTGAGATTGCCCTTGATCATGCCCAGCACTGACTCTGCTGGGTTACCGTGCGAAATGGAAAAAAGAAACAATTTGCGTTCTTGCTTGTTCAGGCTTTTGACAAATTCATTGATGTCGTGAAATCCTATGATCTCACCCTTGGTTTTGTTGTTTTGCGACCACTCCAGTAGCTCGTCGACATTTTGTTCCTTCACATCCCAGACAGATACCTTAAGGCCCATTTCTGAGAAAGCGATGGCCATTTGGGTGCCCATGTTACCAGCACCAACTATGCCGATGCAGTGGAACTGGTTAATCACATTGTTTTGATCGGATGTTGTCGCCATGCTGAGTGAAATTGAGAGAAAGGGTGTTTGATGCGACCGTAGTCAATAATTAAACATGTGCTGAAAGTACAGATACCTAGCTTTTGGTTTGTTTGTGCTGAGGTATCACGGTCGGATATCTTACATCATAGAGCCCAAGGAACAGGATTTCTTGGAGAACATGGCCGGCTTTGGGGCGGACTGGACAGAATCTAAACGTTTTCCTGATCCCTGGAATAATTTAACGTCACATTGACGAGATGAAAGTTTTTGCTTGAAACTCTACTGCCGTCTTGCTCACTCTACTCTACCGGCTCATTTCCTTTCTGCGTCTTGCGCACTAGCACTAAAATATCATTGCGACCCATCAACGGTTCAAAAACAAGTCACTCAATATGCAAAAAGAAGTGGAAAGGCCATCTCGGGGCCCCCAAGCTCAGTTCGAACAGGGTAAGCCCATGTACGATTATATATTATCGGTTAGTGCTCATGAAAGTTACAGGCCACCAAGCTCCCATTGAGCATCATGAAAAGCCCGGTCTACAGGCTGATCTTGAAAGACCAAAGCCCGTATCAAGCCAGGTCCCTACTGAGGATGGTGAATATCAAACTTATAAGGCGGCGGGAAAGCTATCAGGAAAGAAAGCTATCATCACGGGCGGCGATTCAGGAATCGGTCGTGCAGTTGCTATTTTGTTCGCTTTGGAAGGAGCGTCTTGCTTGATTACTTATCTTTCTGAAGAGGTAACAGATGCGCAAGAGACCAAAAGACGAGTAGAGGAAATCGGGGAAAGCTGCCACTGCTTCGCTACCGACCTTCGCGATAAGACAAACTGCCAAGCGGTGGTTGACACAGCCCTGAAGACACTGGGTGGTATTGATATCCTTGTCAATAATGCTGGGACGCAAACTATGGTTGGCGATATTAAGGATTTGGATGAGTCCGTATTTCCTATAATACATGTTGGGAGTTCTACATTGACTGACTTTCACAGATCTCAATGGGAGAGCACATTCGACACCAACATCCACTCTCTCTTCTATCTCTCAAAATACACAGTCCCTCATCTGAAGAGCGGATCGACAATCATTAATTGTGCATCTGTCAACCACTATATCGGTCGTCCTGATCTGCTCGACTACACGGCAACCAAGGGTGCAGTTGTCGCTTTCACTAGAGGACTGTCCAACCAGCAAGTCAAAAATGGCATTCGAGTGAACTGCGTTTGTCCTGGGCCAGGTAAGTCAAAGCAGCGAATGCAAATATGCTATAAAAGCTAACCTTGGTATAGTCTGGACGCCTCTTATCCCAGCAACTATGAATACCTCCGCCCAAGAGCAGTTCAGCGGCACACCGATGGGTCGCCCAGGACAGCCGAGTGAGGTTGCGACATGTTTCGTTTTCCTTGCGAGCCAAGATAGTAGTTTTATTTCTGGCCAAAGTTTGCATCCCAACGGAGGAGTTGTTGTCAACGGATAAGCTGTATACAGTCGTTATCATGAACTAACTGAAGCCAGGACCATATCCTCAAGGGGTTTGACAATGCCTAGTGATCCTTGTTCTGGGGACACTACCTTGAAATATTTGTATTAATTCGCCGCAAATTCTATGAAATATCTTATTATCTTTGCTATTATTGCGTTGCTCGACCCGTTCCTCTACTGTAAGGAGCTTATCCACCGAATTTCTTCGCCGAATGCTGCAAGTATTCGTGTAGCTGCTGTTATGCATGATCTGAAACATGTCCGCCTTGCATACTGCCCAAACCTTGCAACCATGGAACAATGTGCACTGCACCTACCATCCCGATGCAAATTATGGAACGAAAGATTCGTGGTGCCGACTTCAACGTAAGTGGATAGATGACCAAATGAGATAGCCGAGAGTCTTACATCTTTTACTTCATGTTTATCATATCAGCTATCCTAGAACCTACGCGAAGACTCATCCTCTTGAAGAAGAGAGAAAGAAACAAATCGCCTACAGTTGGCGGGCCCCTTTCGAAACTTCACCAGCCAATGATATCACTGCATCATGTGACGCTGCACTTCCATCACATGATCGAGTCAGAAACTTCAAGGGAAAGAATCGGGCAATGAGACATTCTCTATCATGGGCCGGATGTGCGTTGATTCAAGGGTTTTTGCTCTCCATAGTCAAAGTATTCTGTAAGCTCTTGGGCAGTGATATCTATACTTGGGATATGGTTCTTGCTGGTCAAGAAAGAGTCTAAGAAAGCTTGCGCCTTGTCTTCGTTCTCAATAATCTCGTGGTCGTCAACCTGCAGCGCCGGGACTCGTCCCCAGTTCTCCCACGGTTTCATGTAGGTGGCCGCTTTCCAGTGATTTCCTTCCCCGGCTTCGTCTAGGAATTGTCTCCGGTGTGATGCTTTGGCTTTCTCGATAGTCCTAGTCCACGCTCGTCGAATTTGTTGCATCTCTTGGAAGGCAGCTGTGGAATGGGGCTGATTCCGCCCGAGCACTCCGCAATTTCCCCGCCATCTTCCACGTAGTTGGTTGACTTTGGTTTGTTGAACTTGGAGATTCGGCGTGAACCACCGCTTGGAGTATGGTGTGGGCCGCCAAGTCTTCCCGCTGAAAAAGCCAAATTGGCACGTCCACCAAGCACTGATCAAAAACTCACACCTATGTTATCTTATAATGCGCAAACCAGGTGACGAATTTATTGACCGGTTCAAAAAAGGTTGGAGACCTTCTCTTGACCTGCGATGGTGAAAGAGGACAGGGGGGCGCTTGGGGATCCAACGTTCCTGTTAGGTATGCCAACGATATTGGTTTCGTGGGTTCCACGCAGGTAGACAACACAAACTCTGAACAAGCATCGGGGCTAGTGAGCGGATCCTCAATTTCCCGCGATTCCAATGCCCCCGAGCCGCAATCTCCAATAGGTATTCCTAAAAAACAAAAGACGTCTCACAGTCGCAACCTGCTAGGATCAGGCGCTGATTACTGTATGTTACGGCATAGTTCTTCCGGTATGGTGCAAATCACCATACAAAACATACAGCGATGTTTGTCGGGTGACGAACAACCAATTGTGACAATACAGTGCGGGGAAAATCCCTAGTCGTTGCCAAGGTTGGGATTTAAAGTCCTCATGAGCGAGGAGCACACATACGACCTGTATGTGTCTCGTTCTCGTCGCACGGTGGGGAGCTTTTCTGGCAGTTTGTCCGGCCAAGCCGACGTCTTAATGATCTTCTGCGAGAACCTGTAAAGCTAAGGCTGTGCAACTACATGTATAGCCAAGGAATCCCCTTATCCGCAAATTACATCCCTCCATACTCTTCACAGATTTCAGCAATCACATGCCCTAAACCTAAAAATCAACCCTACACGCGAGTCCCATGAATTGTGTCAATTATGTCGCAATTGAATATCAACTGGACCTAATACCAAGGGGCCGTTTCAACACACCGGACTCATGCCTGTGGGTAATCCCGAGCCTCTGTTTGGTCGGAGAACCTAGACTACCTAGCACAATGACGTCACATCATTCAAACTTGGCTGCACACTGCTGGTTTCACATGCGACCTACGTAATTATGAAACTTTCGCATGGATTTAGAGAGCGCTACGATTAATAAATAAATACAGTTCGATCCTCAATCATGTTGATATTGTTAATTTTCGTTATAAAACATCTCAAATCATAATCATGCCGGAACCAACCCCCACACATACCATAGAAACCCGCGAGAGAAAGCCATTTCTCAAGGCCGCGGAAGAAAACAATGATACTGTGGTGATTGCCGAGAAGAGCTACATCACCAGCGAGCGGCTGCCAGCTGTTTCCCTCGCCAACGACATAGAAAACCCTGGTGTTGCTCGAGCCAACGCTGCGGTGTCTGTGGAAAAGCCCGAGGGCGATCTTGAATGGGCTAGAAAGGTTGATGGTTATGTATGTATGAGGAATTTGGCGTCTTTGAGGTGCATTGCCCGCGTACTGATACTGATGATGAACAGTCCCCTCTTCAGCAGCACATCCTCTTCTGGGATGGCGATGGCGATGGGATAATTTATCCCTGGGATACCTACAATGGGTTTCGTGAACTAGGCTTTAATCTGTTCTTCTCAGTACTTGCGACCTTCATCATCAACGTCAACTTCTCCTACCCCACACGCTTAGCATACTCGTGGTTGCCCGACCCATGGTTCCGTGTCTATATACCAAGCATTCACAAAGCTAAGGTGAGTACCTTTAGCACCACAGTAGACAGTGAAGATAAAGCTAACATCTTTCAGCATGGTTCGGATAGTGGCGTCTACGATCCCGAGGGTCGTTTCGTACCGCATTACTTCGAAAATTTGTTCTCGAAATGGGATAACGATAATGATGGAACTCTGACACTTCGGGAGCTTTTCCAGCTAATGCACGGCAACAGATGCGCCGCTGATCCTTTTGGGGTAAGCCTTCAACGTTACTGGTAAACTTTGACTCTAATGCTGGCGATCATGCAGTGGTTTGCAGCCTTATTTGAATGGGGATCAACTTGGCTTTTAATCCAAAAGGACGGTAAAACATACAGAGAGGATCTACGAGCGGTATATGATGTATAGTAACGTTTTTGAATTGTTGAGGGATACGTCTTGGCTAACAATCGCTAGGGCTCGCTGTTCTGGAAAATCCGAGAAGCAAGAAAGACCCCAACTGGCTGGAAGCAAGGTTGGGGCTTAGGAGGCGATGGGTTTATCGGAGGACAAAAGATGTTTTAATAATCGCTGGTGAACTTACTATCTTGTTTTTGAAAAAAAAAAATTTAAGTACCGAACCCTGTCCCAGACCTACCCTAAGGTTGCTCTAATTTTGGGGTAAATACAAAAAAGCCGCACAACCGTCTTGAGGCGATTACAAATGGATTTGGACAGAATTTCAAACTGCTCTCTCCACGATTCTTGTTCACCAAGTTATTTCGGCTGAAACCGATTATTGAATGCTACTTTAGCTTAAACTAGCCTAGGTGGTGAACCTGGCTGACTATCTCCTACTGAAGGTGCTCAATTCTCTTTTGAGGCACTGGACTTGGGTCCAATCAGCACCAATTGACTTTTTACATCATTGATAAACATGTAGGATTCCAGCGCTCTTTAACAATACTTGATTATCCTGTTGTATAAAGATGCCAGAGAGATGACAAAAGTAGCCTTCAAATACGGACAAAGTAGAAAAGTCACTTGCCGTCTGCTGGGCATGAGAAAACAAATCGGGTATGGATTGGCCACACAATCGCGGGTAATATGTTCCAAAGTTACTACCATGAATATTGCTCAGGTTAGCTGAGCTGACATTTGCAAAAGACTGGGGGGTGATCATGTCCACTCCAAGCGTCGGCGTGTGCAAATCACCAGCCTAGCTGTTGAGCACCGCGTCCATTCTACAGGAACTAGGTGTGCGGAACCAAAAATATTGGCTAGCGGACACCATAGACATTGCTCCAGAGTCCCATATGGAGATGAGTCCAAAAGCTGCGAATGTCGAGAAGTCCAGTTACTGAAGAGCTAAATACCGTGGTCCAATGTCGATCTTTTCTTTTCAAATCCTATCACGTCTTCAACCTCGTAAGGATTGGTGGGGTCTCTTGTCCCTGTATCGACAGCCCCTGGTTCAGGCGTAATTGTACGGCTTCGGAGTCGACCAACATGGGGCAAAGCTTGTTAGAAGCGACGGATGAGCTCCTCATCAGGTTTCTGGACATTATTACTATATAGCAAAAAGCCGGCCACATGAGCATGGTCTCGATATGAATAGGTTGTTGAAGCATAATACTAACCGGTTGCCAATCATCTTTCCCACATAACCTTGTTCAAGAGGCGGGCGCAAGAAGAATGGTGCAATTGGACCATCTAACTCAAAAGTCGTATGTTTGATCGGCTGGCCTGAATGGCAGAGTATCTGGTAGGAAACATATCTCTGACGAGCACTGTCGGACTTGTTGGTCCACAATGTATTATATGGATGCCAGTACAGTGGATATATCTGTTCTGGTTCAAAAGGAAAGCTTATCGACTGCGTCAGACACAAGCCTGCTCGACTTTGTAGAGTCAGGTGATCAAACTGTACAGCAAATTGCCGGGGGTAGAGGTCGTGCTTATAGACTTCTCGGCTCGTCCTTTCGCCTACTTGCTACGTGCGCTGCTTGGTAGAACGCGTTGGGGGACACCTCTTAATTGAGTCCTGTTGAAACCCACGTCTTCTAACCGCAACTATTTGCAGCGACATCTTTTGCCTTTGGATGCTCAGCGAGAGAGACTAGCAACAGTTGTTTTAAACAACAGCATGCTGAGTTGGTCAAGAAACGTTGACTGACTGCTAAATCCTTCACGGCTCTCTAAAATCGAGGCACTGAGTCTGAGTACTATTCAATCCGTAATGACAGGCTCATATTTCTGATATCTCATCTGTGTACGAATCAACGTTGAATCACCGAAAAGCGCCTACAATTTCATCTCTCGAAATCATGGACTTTTTCTATTACTCGCTTTATTGTGGTGTTGGTTATGTTGAGCTGTGGGTCTGTCCGTCTAGACTGCAGAAAGCGAGGTCGTGCTCGACCCGTCAACCCGTTGAAGGTTGGCCACACGTTGTCGACACTCTACCTCCGAACTTGGGACCTTTTATTTTTTCTTCTTTTTGAACTTCTTTTTTGATGACTACTATGTCCATTTGTCCAATTTCTGAGGCGTTCAACTAACTGAAAGAGGTGTCTGATCGGAATACATATCTTCAACGAGCGTTGATCTCTGGCCCTCAACATCGTCAGGTTTGATCAGTTTCCTCGACTAACTATCCCTGTTATTGAATACGCTGCCAACAGCCCGACGAAAACTAACAAAAAAAAAAAAAAAAAATTCCAGTCAAAATCCGACCGCATCAATTAACAGTTGTGGTGACCGTAAAATCCACTAGTTACATAGTTGCCTCAATGTCACCATCTCCACTCTTCGATTGTTTCTCAAACCATAATGCCAAGATAGATTAAACTATAATGCATAGCTCCGATATATAAAGTTTCCTGCATCGTTCGTCATACAATACTATACTGTGGTGGATAAATTGCTCATGTCCGGTACCGTATACGCGCCACCCTCTTGACCTCTCCGCTTTTTCTTTTTGTTAGAGATACGGTGGATCTGCATGAGGTTTTCTGGATAATTACCCAGAACGTCTCACGACATCAATATCAGGCTCCTCGCATCAGAGCGCACATTAACTACTCTTTGTCAGCATATCCTACAAAAGAATGTGTCAACAAAAGAAGGTCGCCATTTTACTAGTGCGCCCGAGGAATATTCAGCACCCCCTCTGCCTGATGATCGAAAGGCTCTCAACGACCTTACTAAGCTCATCCCCTATTTATTCTGCACTTTCTATAGTATATAGAAAACACACTCTCAAGTACTCAATTGGCTATGCCCGTACTAGTCCGTACTGTCCCGCTCGAAGTTCGACACCACAGCTTAGACCACCATTTGAGATTTCACCAGTATATTGAATCGCGACTTCCAGTTCATACTGGCAGAAGCAACGAAAAGTACCAACATCGCAAGATGGGCTTTTCTCTGGAACACCGACATTGACATGCTCGAAATATATGTCAGGTACGAGTCTAACCTCTCACAATGTTACTATATTAGCCATTATCATGACGCTGACTTTTGCGCCTCTCTATTTTCGAACAAGTGACCGTCTTCATTAGCTTAGAAAAGTAAGATGTTCTATCTTTGGTTATTAACGACCTGAGACAGGAAGATCGCTTCAGACAATTACCGTTTATGCAAGGCGATCCGCAGTCGCGCTTCTACGCCGGAACACCTTTGACAAGTGATAGTGGCATAAACCTAGGATGTTTGTTTGTATTGGACCCCGAGCCCCGCGGAGGGATGTCGAACATCGACAGGGACACGCTAGGGACAGTGGCAGCCCTAATTATGGGCTATCTGCGGGTTAGTCGCCAGGCAGCAGAAGGGAAACGAGCTTCACGCCTGTTGCATGGTCTCCACCTTTTCGTTAACGGCAACTTAATTTCCTGGCCAGAATCCTATGTCGTTCTGCCCGATATTTCAGGCGAAAGACCTCACTCGCAGGTATTCCCCCCCTCTGAGATAGAATGAGCCGCTCTACAAATTCTCAAGGGCTGGAAGTCTTCTTGGCAAATGCTGAAACTCTTCATACACCCCCCAAAAACAGCGAGAAACGCCTCTCGAGCCCGTCCGATGAGTTGGACATATATATTGCAGCAAGCCCACTGGAATCCTCGGGTAGCTCGCAACAGACCGATGGTGCTTTTTCCGACGGCGGCTCATTGGAATACTCGACTAGCAATTCATGGCTTTTCCAATGAGCCGCAAATCTCTACGGGAAAGTCTGGATTTCGATGGTACTGGAGGTGCGAAGCTTTTGGCTACCGCCGAAGAATCATCAAAAGATTCTACCGAGAACCCTCGCTACTCCAATGAATCACAAAGTCTTGCGTCTGTTCTTCCGATGTAGACCAAATGGGCGATACAGTGTCATCCGCAGCTGCCAGTCTCGACATTAGATTTCTGAATCAACTGATGCGTCGCTATCCCAAAGAAAAACTCTGATATTTCCCTCACGACGGTATCCCCTCTATGTTGGACGGACGTTATTCATTGGATGCGTCTCTCAAACGGAGGAAATAATCTATGACCACGGAAACCGTTAAAACCAACGCGTATTCCCCTGATGCGTATCAGGTCATATTTGTCCCACTATGAAATGCCACCCATTTGCAGTGGCTCGCGGGATGTTTCTTTTGGGCTCCCCAGCCAACGCGAGTGTTCAGTCGTGCTATCGATCTCAGCTCTGTATTTGGCTTGCATCGCCCATCACGACAGAATACAGTCGGGTTGAATCAGCTATCGCAGATCGTCAAAAGGGTGATTTCATCAGTAGTATATCTCATGAGCTGCGCAGCCCATTGCATGGCGTATTGGCTGCCGCTGAGCCTTTTGGTGGCGCGGGTCTGAACGAGTTCCAGGAGTCTCCTTGAGACGACACACGCATGTGGTCGAACTCTTTTAGATACCACGAACCAGGTATTGGACGTCAGCAAAATTATGTCATTTGAAAGGTCGAAGAGGAGGATCCAACGAGGAACGGATTTCTGGAAAGGGAAAGTTCCGGATGTAGCTCCACCGCGCCTTGATACATTTTGTATTGATATATGTGGATACCTTGGCGGAGAACGTTGTGGACAGCGTGAATCAATGGTATCGGAGGGTGGTTCTACACCCGAGTGTCTATTCAAATACTGACTCAACGTTCAAGCCCTATACTATTTTGGGGCATTCTTTGATGCACCTATGCTCACTGATTGCATCATTCTTTCACGCTTCAATTTTGGCTTCTTGTGTCTGTGTCTGACCGACTTGAGGACCTCGCCGCACGAGAATCCAATGCCATATGTTCGTCTGAGTTCACAGGAAGTATTTTGGCTAAAACCAATGCTACCGACCTGTGGTCCGTCTTGCGAGAGGAGGCTGGCGCGAATCAACAACAAAGCCGCGCTATCGCAATTGTCTCCAGAGGTGTTAAGATTTCGTGCATGGAAACAGGAATTAGCCCGTCAATACCGCGTGATTTTGCTACGGGGCGGCTTCACGTAAATTACTTCATATGGCGTTGTTTCTTATAGGATTAAAGCTGGGGCGCTGCTTCAGATGCGTCTATATTCAAGACTAACAGGGAACATCGTACACAGCGAATATAGAGAACTCAGTTCTGCCTTTCGTCCCTGTTTTTCAAGTCGACAGCGTATAAAAAGGTTGACGGGTATGCCTCTCGAAGAGAAATTCTGGCGGTCAATGACCTACATTCAAAATACAAACACTATGGAACAACGCAATGAGGAATTTGATATTTATTATCCGTTGCCTAGTGCTTTTTCAGCCACTGGTACACCCGGTCTGCGATCTCCAGGTTGTTCTTCTCCATGAAGAACATGTGTCCGTTGCCATGAATACCCTCGGTGCCTAGATTCGCGTACTCAACGTCTACGCCAGCTTGCTCCAGATACTTGACGGTGCAGTAATCGTATGGCGCATGGAACGATGCTTCGCCTGTAATAACGAGTTCTGGGATTTTGCCCAGGTTTGTCAACTGCTTCGCTGGGGACTTCTGCATGATGCACTCGTCGTGATCAGCGTCGATTGCTGGCTCGATGGCTGTCTCAATATTTTCGGCATTCTTGCCTGCAGACGGTTCGTATCCGATTGGGAGGTCAGTGAGACCGAAAGCGAAAGCTGGGTCGTTTCCGAACGGCGGGCGGAGCGTGAATGGTGGACCAGACGGCTCGAGCTGGACAATACCCTTAACTAGGTTTGGGCGCATGTCTCCGACCCTCCAGCCTACTCAATCGTTAACCACTTCAGCGCGTCATAGTGCTTGGCTGAAGTCACCGTATGCACCCGCCTGCGAGTGACTGATGATATAACAGTCGCCCACGAGCTCGACTAGAGCTGAATATGCCTGCGCATTTTGTTCTTCGCTTATGAAGCGGTCGGTCTGAAACTGCATCTGGCTCCTATAGAACGCGTCGAAAGTTGAATCGCCAATGCGACCGGTGCCAGGCCATTGCGTGTGAAGCTTCGCCTGTGGCCATTGGTTGTTGTTGCTTGCTACGTCGGTGAAAATATCAGAGACAGAATTGGGGGAACCAATGAACCCAATACTTCCCTGGCCGGAAAACCAGAAGGAGCGGCCGCGGGCAGGCTGGTCTGAGAGGTAGACTGTGTGACCCTTGGAGATGAAATAGGACGCCCATCCTGGCCGTCCGTCTGGAGTATCAAGGAAATTGGTGCCGGTCTGAGCCGCGCCTGCAATAAAGATAATGGGAAGTGGTGGGTTAGCCGGGGTTGGCTTAGGGGAAAGCTTCTCGACGTAAATTTGCCCTATCATAGCCATCGATGTAGAATTGATTGCATTGTCCTGTTTGGCAATCTTAGATACGCGATAGAACTGGTGGGAATCAAGACTTGCTGTGGTGTTCGTGTATCGTCCGCCAACGTACAGAATCTCGCGCTTAGGAACAATGTCCCTAAGCTGGGAACCATGAATTTGCACATTGCCTCCTAGAAAGGCAACATGCGTCAAATATGTGAGAAAAGTCAAGATACGAAAGTTGAACATATTAACCCAATTCTGCGAGAAGTGCAAAGACCCTGAGAAAGAGATGTGTGGAGGGAGAGAAAAGACCTCCAGCTCGGGTTTGTGGAGGATCCACACCGCTTCTTGTTGTTGGTGCGCCCCGGCGAGCTTGTACACCCATCTAACGGTTTCTGGTAAAGGATAGTATCTGTAATACTAGAGATAAATACCAATTACAGGGTGGGGTTTTATTGGGGTTGCCTCACGTGATGCCTGCACAGAGCCCACCGGCCTACGGAGGGGTTTCTTCCCCCCTGCAACTGCCTCACGGGAGTCAATTGCTCGCCTCTGCTCGTAGCTCGTCATCTCTCACACAGTCAAGACTCGTTGTGTCCCTCCCGCCTTCCCTCTGTACATAGAAACCATTGCAAATATACAGACACATTGCCTCCCTACAAGGGAGCGCGGATGGGCTCCATCTGACGCTACGGTCTCAGACCGTAGCGACAGGTGACCCGTCACGGCCAAACTATACACATTCCTGATCCCTCTTGACTGGGTGATGTTACCAATAAACTACCTCAGATTTTGGTTAATCTACCAATACCCTCTAAATCCTAGCTAAGAGAGAAATTCTAGGTCTCATCTATAATTAAAAAAAATTATTGTTTTATCTCTGAACTACCTTGCTAACCGTATACTCCAAATGCCCCTTCGATATTGCGTCATATGAGTGATACTACCAGAATCAATACCGACCAAATCTTCCTAGTGCTTCATGATCCCACTGCTCGCGGAAGAACGCTCTTCTGGTGGACTCCGCGATGAAGTGTCTGCTAGCCTGATTCCACTCATGCCGATTCTGGCACCATTCCCCTCGCGTCAGTTCCTCCTGACTTGAATTTGTATTTGCCTGCCAGATATCCACCCGTCGTGTGGTTCCACAGTTACTTTTGTCACTCTTTTCGATACGCTGGAGTTCTGCCGATTGGGGATGACTGCTGCTACACTCCGGACCACTGTTGCTATTCGCACTCCGCAGCTGTGCAGCCTGTCTCACTTCCCTGCAAACTCGCCGGTAAAGATGCCGCGTGGTGGGCAGTATGCTAGCTATCATGTAGATGGAGGGTTCGACGAGGGCATAGATCATAGGACCCCCTGAGGCGTACCATGTCGGATCCGAGAAGAGCGGGACGGTGAAGAAGACGGAGAAGCGAAGTGCACATGTTATTATGCCCCTATATTTTATCAATACGTTTCCTTCTTCTAGGCGAGATGCAGAAGTAAGCGAAGGCGAGGCGTGTAACTTACAGCGAAGCAGCCAGAAAAGTAAGAATAAGGCCGATCTTTTCCGACTTGCGCATTTGCAATTGGAGGAGAATCGGCCAAGGGAGCACCAACATCATCACATCCGTGACCAGGCTCGGAATGCTATAGCTTTTATAAAAAAGCATCACGTCTCCACAAGTTCCATCGTTGACATCAACCGCCTGGGTCCAGAAGTACTTGAAAGGCCGGCAAATCGAAAACGCTAGGATAATAGAGATCAAGCCTTGAAGGATGATAATCACGCCAATGCCAGCAATGAGGCGACGATAACGCGGGACTTCGAACAGTTGATAGTAGAGGAATAGAGCGGCAAGCTTGGCGAACATAACGGCGGGTGTGTAGGTGAACTCGAGAACTTTGGATAGTTGCAGCCAGGTCTGAAATGTGGTCACAGGGACGGCATGGACGTGGTACCCTGCACCGCCGATTGTAACCATTACTATTGAGCGTTAGTGCCCATCATTCACTCATCGAGTTTCCCCATCCTGATTCAAGCCATCGCAGCTTCATGTTTGCTTTTTTTTCTCAAGCAAAGGAAAATGCTCAATGCTTCCACCTCATTCGTTCTAAAGCCCATAACCCATGCGAGAAGACAAGAGGGGAAGGACTAACAGATTCCCGTCGCCGCACTCCCCATACAAAACACATAACACAGCGTATTACACACCACCATGGGCACTCCCACCGCCTTGGGATTGAAGTACCTGCTCACGTAGAACACCAGAATGAAAAAAGTATCAATCACAATGAACGCGATGCTGACCCGCTGGTCCAGACCCGGATCATTCGTCTCGGCTCATAACTTTGACGACCCCACGCTCGAGCCTGCCATGATGGATAGAACAGGCGTTTGGGAGGTGGTACAAGCAAGGTCTTGCACAGCGGATGTTGTTCTGGTGGGAAGGACGGACGCACGTGTTTTACGTCTCGGATTCGCAAGTCATTGAATAATGAGCTCAAAGAAATACATATCTAGAGGCGGTGAAACGAGAAGATGTCCCATAAGTTCCGACAGAAACTCCAATTAGGCTAGATCGATGAAGAAAACCGGTAACTGCAGTTCAGTTGTGCGCCCCAAGTTCTTGAGTATATGACTAATCGTCACAGTCAATATCATGAAAATCCTTTCCAGTCAGTCTATACTCTAAAAATGGCATGCTCTCGCACAGCTGGAATAAAGGGTCCTTTCCTCATACTGAAGGTAACATGACCGGGATCGTCGATCAATCGCTGAACCCTAAAAATAGAATTTGGTGAACCATGGAAACGCTTGCTCGGTGAGAGAATGCAGCTGTCTTGAATGATCCTTATGACAAGCTCATCTATAAGCTTCTGCTCCACTTGCTTTCTAGGTTGCTTGTGATAAAGCCCTACAGCGCAAAAGAAAAGAGATCTGGGGCAGAATCAACGAAGCCTCAATCTGGTCATATGTAGAATATTTAAGAGACCAATACTTTATTAGGAATATCCTCTATGTTCAGTGCTATAACCAATATGCGCAGAGTGCTTGAAACAAGGTTTAGGGGCCGCAGGAGGGCCGGCCCACAACGTCAACCCATACCCAGAAGCCGATCGCTTCCTCAATTTAGTGCACAAACCGGAGACTTTGTTTAGATCTAATATCTGCCCTTACATAATTGGCGTTGATTTCAAAGGCTATCTGCTGGAGTTGGCGGACTGGCGATCGAATTTGGCAGATGGAGAGAATCTGTCGCGCTCAAAGAGAGTATACTTTCTTGTTTATGCAGGACAGAAGACGTAGCTTCTAGAACATTCTACAGACCAGATAGAGAAAGCAGCAGCTTCCGCCTCGACGGAGGACCAATCACTCTCTTGCGAGGGCAACTAAACCGCGGATCGGATCTCTGTGGCCAAAAGTCTGTGTGACATTCCAAATACCTCGTCTGCCACAACCGACCTCCCACGCAACAAAGAGTTGTTCCATCTGTACTCTACTAGGTTTGCGGATCGTGTCTGGACCTTTTTGAATCCTTCCAAATTCTTCTCCGGGCCACGAATAGAGCCTCCTTGATCTACACTCCCGTGGGTCGTCGCCGGGATCTGCATCGCGGAGCTGAACCTGCGTCTATCTAAATTCACGCGCATTATTTGATAGGTCCGCTGGGTGTTATTTTTTTCTAATGGGTCATCAATATGACAGCAGCGTTGCAATCTTTACGAGGGGGTGGCGATCACGCGGACGTAGCTCGTGAGCCATGGTAGTTGAAATAACTCACTTTATTGTCCTGGGAAGTGGACTCAGGTTTATTCTAGGTTTCCAACAAGTTCTAGATCTTGATTCTCTATCAAAAAAAAAAAAACCAATACCCTGGACTTGTGAGTACGTTCATAGTGTCTGTACCGACAGGTAGCAGAAGTATTAGTAGAGGTAACATCAGTTGGCTGCGAGCTACACAGAAAAGTACCGTTAGCGCGAGGCTAGGCAGAGAGGATTGCAGAGGGATCAATGGGAGGCACGTCTTATGGCCAATCACGGGGACCATCTACTGTGACTGTCTGCCACAGTCTCCAACCCTTGGTTGCGGCATCTGTTGAAGCACTTCAATCCTCATGAAGAGACGGCGACCATGGCTAGTGACCGAGGTCGAAACGGACAGAGTAGTCTGCCACCGCGTTGAGCGATTTAATTGCAATTTCAATGATGTGAGAATCATATTCTTGTGGTGTCGGTGTCTTTTCAACAGTTGATGAAAGTGGTGCACCACACTCAACGCAGGTTTTGAAAGCAATGAATCCAGGTTGAAACTTGAGTCTGTAGGCCACAAAGTCTCCTAACAACATTTCAACGGTGTTCAAATGTCTTCAACGACAATAACGAGTCAGTGATTCTCGCTACCAACTGCGCAACTGGTTCCTTGGTAGAGACGTAGCCGAAAAGATATAAAAGGAGCCAGATTCCCAGCCCAAAAAAATCAGGACTTCGGTCCTCACACTCCGATGTGTCATGGTTTCCTTCTTGCCTGCGGGTTTGAGAGTCTCCATGGCCACGGCTGTCGCTGCCACGAGCCCAGCGATGTAAGACTTGCGCTACCTCACAGCCAATAAGCCCTGTGACTGTAAAAATGTGCTTCGCAGGATAGGTCTGCGTCAACAACAATCCTCGCAGGGGGAGGGGCGCTGCGTTACCAAGTGAACTCCGCAGGGGGACGCTGTGATGACAATTGAGACCCGCAGGAGACCGCTGCGTTAACAAGTTATCTGCAGGAGACCGCTGCATCACCAAGTTCTCCGCAGACTAGGTCCTGCGTCAACAAAGCGCCTCGCAGGGACATCTGCGAAACCAAGAGTCTCCGCAGGGACATCTGCGACAAAAAGCCCCTCTAGCTCGTGCAGGCACCTCTTCGTGGTGCTAGGGACCAGTATTGGAGTATTAAGAGTACTCGTAGAAGCCAAGACCTGCAAACCATCTTGATGACGTATGATGTGTTTTGAATGATGATCATTGGAGGAACAAAATGAGCCCTAGATAGAAGCGATCCAATATCAGAATCGTAATCTCATGTTTCAACCTTCGTCACCGAGTGCCGTATTCCCAACCCTCCTGTCTTCATTTTTTGCGGTCGGCTAGTGTTCCCGCCGCAATAAAATGCATCTGCGTCAGAGCGAAGAGCGAAGAGAGACTTGAGTGTTTGGCTGCGTCGCGGATGTGTTGATGAGTGTTAATGACCGTTGATGAACGTTGATGAACGTTGGTGACCGTTGATGAACGTTGGTGACCGCTGATGATAGTATGGAAAGGGGTGTTGATGTGTATTGTGGTACATGGCCAGGCGGTGAAGTTGACTGATCGTCACCAGACTTCGGCAAAGCCCAACCAAGCCCATTACCAATTTCTATGCACACGACTACAGTATTCGCATTTATAACCCTGCTGATTAATGTATGATTTTTATGCATGTTCTATAAGCCCATATCTCGGCCCGACATTTTCCATGGCCCAATCCGGGGGTTGAACTATTCCAAGATGCAATATCAAGATTCAACGGCAAAGACCTGGTAATAAATAAAAATATGGAAAACAATGGCTATACTATAAACTCGATTGAGCTGGTCCAATGCAAACACCAATATCCCTCGGTGAAGCTATCATGAGGGAAAAAACCCACGATCAGACCTACCAGGTGTAGATGAAGCATTGAATGAGGAGCGCTCGAAATGCGTTTTGTTGCTCAGGTAATTATGGTGATGCGATAGACTGTTACTCGCAGTCGAATTGGCCGCTTCAGGCGGCTTGCAAGTCACACTCCTACTCTGCTGTAGAATGCCTACATCCACAACGGTCGCGAGTCAAACTGGATTCCCAATAAAGAGGGCGAAGAAATTGAGGGGCTTGGCCCGAAAATTTCCGATTGGCTGCTTCTTCATCGGAGCCGTCGCACCTTGGTCAGTTACAGCAATTACGATTCACATTGCGAGCCCATCTCCTATGTAGCAACCACACCGGACTCAAATTGGAAACCACTGCTTTTTGGGCATAGTACCCGAGTTCACGCGATCGAGCATACTCTACTGTGTAGAGAACATGGTTGCAGCCCGATCAGGTCTAGCAAGCGCCATCTTGACCAGATCTGGCAAAGACGATTCCGCCAGCATTTACGACGGACTTTGGTGATGCGATCTGATTGAATTGGAGCCGCAGCAGACATGCGCGTAACCAATCCCACCGAAAGCAATCATATGAATGCTGATTAGGGATAGAAATTTAAACATAGGCTGTCATAGATAGTCAGCGAGATCGCACAGAGGATGGCTCTGAGTAAAGTAGTGCAGACATCCAACTCACCTTTACAGAGGATCTGCTTGAACAGTGATATGCCAAATGTCATCCATGGTGCGGTGAGGTTTGACAAAAATATATACTTGATGCTCAAGGACAGTCGACGTAAGGGACGGAGAAAATCGGCTATTTCCTAGCAAGATATGCTTGGGCGGAATATGTTAGAGGACGATTTCAGTGAGAAAATGATACACGCGCTCGGCTTGACTGATCTGCAGATGCAGTAATATCCGGAAAATGGCTTTTGGACAAGTTGCTCGGGCTTGGATGGAAAAAAAAGCATGCTAGGGCATCAAGTCTACCAAAAATCTGTCCAAAGACACCACAATATTTCTGACAGCGCCCTCCATGCAGCGTCGTGTATGTCCAGTTGGTCCCTTCCCGCTCGCTCGTATGCGTCGAACGGCCCAGCAACGTGGGGGTAGGATCAGATGGGACAGTATAGGTCGGTAATTCGTAATTCGTAGCTCGTGGGTTTTTAGTTTGCTCGGCTGTGACTCGGAACCAGACGGTCTCTCTCTTGGTGCGTAGCTGATAAGACCATTATTATCCCGTAGGCTCGAAATGACGGGACATTTGCCTCACCTTCTCCTTGCACGCAGACTTGGACTAACAATCTAGCCATCTGCAAAGGTATGGCTCACCTGCCACCAAGCAAGACAAAACCACCAGCATTTTTCGGGTCTTTTAGAGTTTCAGGACTGAAAAGACGCGAGATGCCAACCGAGGACAATGCCATTGGACGTCAGGAATTTGATCCACAAAGAACCTATTCTTTCGCGATGTTCGAATACCGAGACGGACGGTGGTTTGGCCCATTATGCCTTGGTTTTTGTATCGGTAGACACATCAGCACATGGCTGGTGCATAGTGTCGACTGAGATAAGGGCCGAGACGATGTGAACATTCCAGTCATTCCTCGTCCATGCCACCAGTGGTCATGAGGAAGGGACAGATAGTTTGCGATCGCTTCGATATAGGGGAGCTCGAGCAGACAAATTTGGTCGCATCGCATTCGACTCGAGTGACGGGAA